TGAGGAGCCTTATCACCAAGGTGGAAGAAGGAAGAGCAAAGTTGGATTGCAGTTAAACATCACAAAAACCAAGATGATGGCAACCAGGCTGATCGATAACTGGCAAATAGAGGGAGAAATCGTGGAGGCAGTGACAGACGTTGTATTTCTAGGTGCAAAGATTACTGTAGACACAGAGTGCAGCCAGGAAATCAGAAGACATTTCCTTCTTGGGAGGAGAGCAATCTCAATAAAAGAGTGAAGAGTAGAGACATCACACTAGCAATGAAGATCCGCATAGTTAAAGCAATGGTATTCCCCATAGTAACCTATGGATATGAGAGCTGGACCATAAGGAAGGCTGAGCGAAGGAAGGGAGACACTTTTGAACTGTGGTGCTGGAGGAAAATTTTGAGAGTTCCTTGGACCATGAGAAGATCCAAGCAGTCCATCCTCCAGGAAACAATGCCCAGCTGCTCAATGAAGAGAAGGATATCAGAGGCAAAGAGGAAGTCTTTGGGCCACATAATGAGAAGACAGGAAAGCTTGGAGAAAAGAATTATGTTGGGGGGAAAGGGAAGGAAAAAGGAAGAGGGGCTGACCAGGGCAAGGCGGTTGGATGGGATCCTTGAAGGGTCTGGCTTGACTCTGAAGGAGCTGGGGGTGGCTATGGCTGACAAGGAGCTCTGCCGTGGCCTGGTCCAGGAGTTCACGAAGAGTCGGAAGCGACTGAATGAATAAACAACAACAATGCATTTGCATACACACAAAGGCCCCAGAAATGCATGGAGTGTCCCGTCCCAAGCTCTTAGGTGCAACAGTTAAAAAGAAGAGTGAGTCTCTCCATTAAGGTCACTTATTTATTTATCGTGTCAGGAGTGAACCAAACAGTTGTATTGCATTAAAAACAAACAAACATACAAAACACAAAGTTTTCAAGCTTGGTAGTTGATTAAATATCCTTTGACCAATAGCTGGCCCCTTGGAGTGCCTCTGGTGTTGCCGCAAGGAGGTCCTCCCTTGTGCATGTGGCAGGGCTCAGGGTGCATTGCAGCAGGTGGTCAGTGGTTTGCTCTTCTCCGCACTCGCATGTTGTGGATTCCACTTTGTAGCCCCATTTCTGAAGGTTGGCTCTGCATCTCGTGGTGCCAGAGCGCAGTCTGTTCAGCGCCTTCCAAGTCGCCCAGTCTTCTGTGTGCCCAGGGGGGAGTCTCTCATTTGGTATCAGCCATTGATTGAGGTTCTGGGTTTGAGCCTGCCACTTTTGGACTCTCGCTTGCTGAGGTGTTCCAGCGAGTGTCTCTGTAGATCTTAGAAAGCTATTTCTTGATTTAAGTCATTGATGCTGGCTGATACCCAAACAAGGGATGAGCTGGAGATGTCTCTGCCTTGGTCCTTTCACTATTGGCTGCTACTTCCCGGCGGATGTCAGGTGGTGCAATACCGGCTAGACAGTGTAATTTCTCCAGTGGTGTAGGGCAGACACCCGTGATAATGTGGCATGTCTCATTAAGAGCCACATCCACTGTTTTAGTGTGGTGAGATGTGTTCCACACTGGGCATGCATACTCAGCAGCAGAGTAGCATAGCGCAAGGGCAGATGTCTTCACTGTGTCTGGTTGTGATCCCCAGGTTGTGCCAGTCAGCTTTCGTATGATATTATTTCTAGCGCCCACTTTTTGCTTGATGTTCAGGCAGTGCTTCTTGTAGGTCAGAGCACGGTCCAGAGTGACTCCCAGGTATTTGGGTGCAATGCTGCAATGCTCCAGTGGGATTCCTTCCCAGGTGATCCTCAGAGCTCGGGATGCTTGTGTATTAAGGTCACTGAAATGCCATGAATATTATGAGCTTTTGAATTCTGCAGAACCCTTCTCCAGCTGGTTCTGTTCATGGGAGAAAAAAGTTAAAATTTAATTAGATTTGAATCTGTTTTAATTTTTAAATAGTTAACAATTAGGTCAGCAAAAAAAAAAAACAGAAGGTTTAAATAGTTCAGATGGGCTCTAAGTGCCAAATGTCAGCATTTTAGATCCCCTCTGGACTATTCAGACCTTCAAGAGTCTGACCCTCCAAGGCTGGCAAATGGGAGCAGCTGCCTCTCTCTTTTTGGAAAATACTTAGCTCTCTTCCAGCATGAAAGAATGCACATTTCTTAGATTGCATCCTCCTGTGTTTTACTCTCAGATGTCTGGAAGCAAGAGAGAAAGGAAGGTGGCAGAAGAAATGCCAAAAGGATCCAAAACAAAGCTCAAAGCTCCAGCTCCTCTCCGCCTTTCAGGGCTTGGCAGCATCTGTTGCTTTTGAGGGCAGCGGGCTTCTGAATGGGGCCATTGTGAACCAAAACACGGTCATCTGCCACCATTCTCAGAATGACGTGCAGATGCTGGGATGGTTGACAACACTCCCAATATGTTGCCGTCCCCAGGCCAAGGACCTGGTATTGTTGTGAAGATACGATCTGTGGGGATTTCTTTTTGCTGAGGGGATCTAGCTCCCTCTTCATCCTTGTTGGGAAGGGGATGCCGGGTGGCCATCGTAAGCAAGATCTGTGGGAGGGGCTCAGCTAGAAGAATTGGCCACATCTCCCCTTTGGCATAAGGCTCCAAAGCTGTTTTCAATTTTCCCTTTCTGTACTTGTTGGCTTGTGATGTTGGTCCTTAGTATGTTGGTGTTAGATATCGCATTCATAGTTGAAGAATCCTAGAATCCTAGAGATGGAAGAGACCCCAAGAGCCTTCCAGTCCAACCCCCTTCTGCCAGGTTGGGAGACATAGAATCATAGAATCCAAAGTTGGAAGAGACCCCAAGAACCTTCCAGTCCAACCCCATTCTGCCAGGTTGGGAGACATAGAATCGTAGAATCCTAGAGTTGGAAGAGACCCCAAGAGCCTTCCAGTCCAACCCCCTTCTGCCAGGTTGGGAGACATAGAATTGTAGAATCCTAGAGTTGGAAGAGACCCCAAGAGCCTTCCAGTCCAACCTCCTTCTGCCAGGTTGGGAGACATAGAATCGTAGAACCCTAGAGTTAGAAGAGACCCCAAGAGCCATCCAGTCCAACCCCATTCTGCCAGGTTGGGAGACATAGAATCGTAGAATCCTAGAGTTAGAAGAGACCCCAAGAACCTTCCTGTCCAACCCCATTCTGCCAGGTTGGGAGACATAGAATCGTAGAATCCAAAGTTGGAAGAGACCCCAAGAGCCTTCCAGTCCAACCCCATTCTGTCAGGTTGGGAGACATAGAATCCTGAAGTCGTGGTTCTGGGACAAGGCTTTTGGACAGCAGGCATAAATAGCACTTTGAATATGGAATTCGACTGGAATGATGATATACCCAATACGGCCAAATTTGAATACTGGTGGGGTTGCGGGGGATTGATTTTGTCATTTGAGTGTTGTAGTTTCTGGGATTTATAGTTCACCTACAATTAAAGAGCATTCTGAACTCCACCAACAATGGAATTGGATCAAACTTGGCAGGTAGAACTCCCATGACGAGCAGAAAATACTGGATGGGTTTGGTGGGCATTGACCTTGAGTTTGGGAGTTGTAGTTCACCTACATCCAGAGAGCACTGTGGACTCAAACCATGATAGATTGCTTGCATCCACAAACATGGCACGAATCCTCAACATGCCCAAGTGTGAACACTGGTGGAGTTTGGGGAAAATAGACCTTGACATTTGGGAGTTGTAGTTGCTGGTATTTATAGTTCACCTACAATCAAAGAGCATTCTGAACCCCACCAATGATAGAATTGGGCCAAACTTCCCACACAGAACCCCCATAACTAACGGAAAATACTGTTTTCTAACAGTTTTTGGCGACCCCTCTGACAACTCCTCACGACACCCCCCCCAGGGGTCCCGACCCCCAGGTTGAGAAACATTGCAGTAAAATGTGAATTCTAGTAGCAGTAGGTTGAATGTAGATATACAGTTTTTTAAATATATATATAACCTAAAAGCAAATGATTAAAGGCAGAGACAGAATCCATAGAGTTACACTCATTTTGCATAAAAACTACATGGGAAAAAAAAATCTTCCATATTTACATGAATCAATCTGATTTACTTGAGCCAGTCATTGTTTGGGGATCTTCAGGGCCAGGGGCTTCAAATTCCCATTCATTCACAATCCCTCTCAATGTTCTTTACAATATGTATACCTCTATGTAAGAAGGGAAGAAGTATAGAATTATGTATTGTCGAAGGCTTTCATGGCCAGAATCACTGGGCTGTTGTAGGTTTTTTCGGGCTGTATGGGCATGGTCTAGAGGCATTCTCTCCTGACGTTTCGCCTGCATCTGTGGCAAGCATCCTCAGAGGTAGTGAGGTCTGTTGGAACTAGGCAAAGGGATTTATATATCTGTAGAATGACCAGGGTGAGACAAAGGACTGTTGTCTGCTGGAGCTAGGTGTGAATGTTTCAACTGACCACCTTGATTAGCATATAATGGCCTGACAGTGCCTGGAGCAAACTTTTGTTGAGAGGTGATTAGATGTCCTTGTTTGTTTCCTCTCTGTTGTTGTGCTGTTGTAATTTTAGAATTTTTTAATACTGGCCAGACTGCCTGAATACATTTTGAATACACTATAGAATTATGCATATAAAAAGGCAAAACTGGAGAACATCTTTCTTTTTGTACTAGAACTCGGGGTTCCTTTATGAAGGTTAAGTGGGGAAAGATTCAAAATCAGGTCCTTCTTCACCTAAGGTACAATTAAACTGTGGAACTCACCGCCGTAAGAAGTAGCCATGGCTGCTAATTTGATCTTGAATCTTGGGAAACTGGAACCAAACCACAACAGAAAACTAGGATCTGCTGTAATTCAGTTTGTTTTAGAAAGCCACTTGTGAGAATTGCTTTTTGGCTGTGTATTCCACATTAAGTTGGCTTGTGAACAGTCTTTGGGTAGAAAATGAAGACAGAATGGAAATTCAATAAACAAATGCAGAAAAAGTGATTATATGCCTTTAATTGTACGACAGACCTTGCGCTGATTTACAACCTTGTTTTTCAGGAGACGACTTTTCATTGATCCAGCAAGAAATCTACATGGTCAAGGAATGCAAACACTGCAACATCGTCGCTTACTTTGGAAGCTATCTCAGGTCAGGCCTTTCTTGTGATCTGTCTCATATAAAAATTATTTTCTGTGCCAACTTCCTGGAGTTTTCTTCAAAGTGTATTCAGGCAGTCTGGCTATCAGCCAGGACGCCTTTGAGTTTGCTGTCTCTTGCAAGAGATATTATTTATTATAGTCGGCATCTTCCTTCACGGTCTACCCACTTGTACTGCCACAGCTCAAAGCTTTGGAGTCATGGGATCTGTAGTTTGGGGAAGCAGCAACACTCTTTGGCAAAGAAAGCTAGAGACCAAGTGAAACTACAATTTCCAGGATTCCATAGCTTTGGACCAGGCAGCTAAAGTGGTGTTAAACTGCATTAATTCCACAGTGTATATACACCCTGCAGAAACACAATTAAACTCTTTTAGTATTTCTAATGTGCCTTCATGTACCAGCGAGAGTGCATCAGAGGCACTTCTAATGCACATCAGGTGAAATAATAATAATAATAATAATTATTATTATTTATTTATTTATTTATTTATTTATTTACCTTACTTATATACCGCTGTTCTCAGCCCGAAGGCGACTCACAGCGGTTCACAACAAATAAGAACAGCAAAAATTCAATGCTACAGTATAAAAAACAGTTAATAACCTAACACATTACATAATTAATAACAATTACTACAATAACCATTCATTATCATCTCATCATCAAAAACATGATCCAGATTCGTCATCCATTGTTCCATTCCAGTGTTCATTAACCAATCATTGCACTAATTATTGGAACGCCTGCTCAAACAGCCAGGTCTTCACTTTTTTGCGGAATACCATTAGAGATGGTGCTAGTCTAATGTCCGTAGGAAGGGCGTTCCACAGCCGAGGAGCCACCACCGAGAAGGCCCTATCTCTCGTCCCCGCCAGCCGTGCTTGAGAAGCAGGCGGGATCGAGAGCAGGGCCTCCCCGGAAGATCTCAAAGTCCTGGTGGGTTCATAGGCAGAGATGCGGTTGGATAGGTAGCTTGGGCCAGAACCGTTTAGGGCTTTAAAGGCCAACGCCAGCACTTTGAATTGAGCCCGGTAGCAAATCGGTAGCCAGTGGAGTTGGCGCAACAGGGGGGTTGTATGCTCCCTGCGCTCCGCTCCTGTTAGAATCATGGCTGCCGATCGTTGGACCAATTGGAGCTTCCGAGCCGTCTTCAAAGGCAACCCCACGTAGAGAGCGTTGCAGTAGTCTAAAGGGAGGATGTACCAGAGGATGTACCGCCGTGGCCAAGTCAGACTTCCCAAGGTACGGGCGCAGCTGGCGCACGAGCCTAAGATGTGCAAATGCTCCCCTGGTCACCGCTGAAACCTGGGTTCCAGGTCAGCGATGAGTCCAGGATCACACCCAAGCTGCGAACCTGTGTCTTCAGGGGGAGTGCGACCCCGTCTAACACAGGCTGTAACCCTATGCCCTGTTCGGCCTTGCGACTGACCAGGAGTACCTCTGTCTTGTCTGGATTCAGTTTCAATTTGTTCGCCCTCATCCAGACCGTCACAGCGGCCAAGCACCGGTTCAGGACCTGAACAGCCTCCTTAGTAGCAGGTGGAAAGGATAATAACATGGCCATATAGCCTGAAAAAACCTACAACAACCTAGAGAATTTGCTAGATACTCCAGGCCAACTCTGTAGTAACTCCAGGGGGAAATATACCAAATATGCCTGAAGGACCAAGTAAATTACTAGAGAACCGTTTCTCTCTGAGTGTGGATATCAGTGTCTATGGGTTCTGCAGCGGCCGTAATTTATTTATTCGTTGTGTTAAACATTTATATTACATTCATACCATAGGACCTTTGAGTGGCTTACAATAAAATCAGTTTAAATCATTTAATACTGAAAGCCATAAAAATATTCCGAATGTGTCGATGAAGCCGATAACGCTGAGAAAGGAAGCAATTTTTTGGCTGGGATGCGATGGCCTTGAAGTCACATTTTCTTTTCCTAAACTTGAGGCTGCATATTTTCCATTCCTTTGGAATTTTGCTCTTTGCCGGCCAATTCTCTGAGAATATGCCCCATCCCTCCTCACATCTGATCTTTTACGCATGGATTTTGACATCCAAGCATTCAGAACATCCAGCTTTTCTCTTTAGTTCCTCCAGAGAGGGGCAAACTGAGCAATGTCCCGAAAACAGCTAAGGAATGCGTTTGCTCATGTCAGGGGTGAGAATCTTGCAAAACGTGAGCTATCTTTGCACTGCAAAAGTGATTGAAAGTCCCTCTCTGGTCTGGAAAAAGTGGCATTTTTTATGCTCATGCACAAGGAACGCTTGCAGAATTTATTTATTTATTTATTTACTATATTTGCATACTGCTCTTCTTAGAATTTATTTATTCAGGGCGACTCAGAGCGGTTAACAAAGCAAATACAATACTTAAACATGATAAAAACAGTTAAAAACAAGTTAAAAGAATAACATTAGAACAATCAATAAACATCATAACATCTCATCTCATCTCATAGTTAAAATCAAGATCCAGACTCATCACCCAATGTTCCATATTTCTATATTAGTTACACTGCCTATTCAAATGCCTGCTCAAACAACCAGGTCTTCACTTTCCTCCGAAATGCTAACAGGGAGGGGGCCTATCTAATTTCTGTGGGAAGGGCGTTCCACAGCTGAGGGGCCACCACTGAGAAGGCCTTGTCTCTCGTTGCCGCCAACCGTCCACAGCCGAGGGCCCACCACTGAGAAGGCCCTGTCTCTCATCCCCGCCAACCGTCCTTGTGATGCAGGCGGGACCGAGAGCAGGGCCTCCCCAGATGATCTTAACGTCCTAGCTAGTTCATAGGAGGAGATCCGTTCAGACAGGTAAGTTGGGCCAGAATCTTTTAGGGCCTCATAGGCTAAGGCCAGCACTTTGAATTGTGCCCGGTAGCAAACTGGCAGCCAGTGGAGCTGGCGCAACAGAGGAGTTGTACGCTCCCTGAGTGCCGCTCCTGTTAGTAACCTGACTGCCGACCGTTGGACCATTTGAAGCTTCCGGACAGTCTTCAAAGGCAACCCCACGTAGAGAGCGTTGCAGTAGTCTATATGGGATGTAACCAGAGCATAGACTACCGTGGCCAAGTCAGACTTCCCAAGGTACAGGCGCAGCTGGTGCACAAGTTTAACTGTGCAAATGCTCCCCTGGTCACCGCTGAGACCTGGGGTTCCAGGCTCAACGATGAATCCAAGATCACACCCAAGCTGCGAACCTGCATCTTCAGGGGGAGTGTGACCCCCATCCAACACAGGCTGTAACCCTATCCCGTTTGGCCTTTTTGTTCTTTATTTTGGTTATTTTGAACTGGGAAAGGGAAGTGTGTGTCTTGCAGTTATTCTTGCATTGCAAAATGCAGCAGAGCCTTAGCCAAGTTTGCAGGATCTTGCAGTCTTGCAACATCTGGAGCATCGCATGATTCCCATTTTCGGATTATGAGACAGTTAAAGTCTGCAAGGATTTGTGTCCTTGAGCCTCCTGTAGGGCTTGGATCTGACCAAATTAACTGTTTGAAAAGGCCCTTGAGTTTGTTTATCTCGTTTTTAAAATGGGAATTGCAGTAGCTGGGTGCATGTTATCATCACAAAGTGTCAATCCTCACAAAGAGTCTCAAGCAGGCATGGGCCAACTTGGTCCCTCCCTCCAGGTGTTTTGGACTTCAACTCCCACAATTCCTAACAGCCTACCAGCTGTTAGGAATTGTGGGAGTTGAAGTCCAAAACACCTGGAGGGAGGGACCAAGTTGGCCCATGCCTGGCTTAAAAGATCCAACATTAAGACTGTTTGTTTTCCTTTCACAGCCGGGAGAAGCTCTGGATCTGTATGGAATACTGTGGAGGAGGATCCCTTCAAGATATTTATCATGGTATTTGGAAACTTATTTATTTCCTGGTTCCTGTGCACTTCCCCGAGCAATTAGCCTGTCTTGCTCCCTTCCCTTGTATCCTAACAGGGGTAGATTAGGGTGAAATAATGCAATGTTGGCTACTCCGAGCGTGTTTTTAAATATAGCTGGCCTGGGGCTTAATTCACTATGAAGAATCCTGTCCAAACCTGTGGAAACATGTGGGAGGCCCTTGGTATTATTATTATTATTATTATTATTATTTACAGCTTTTATATTTATATGGTAGCGGTTATATTAGATGCCTGCAGTGTGGCCTGCATGGGACTGCCCTCGAAGCTACACGTATTTATTCAAGTCTCATGCAACATCGACTCTAATGCGCACCTCAATTTTCAAAGCCCTGAAACCAAAAAAGCAAATGTAATGTGTAGCGGCAAAAAATGCACTCTTTGTAATTTGCCCAAAAAAGGTGTGCATTACAGTGGCTGCAGACTTAGCACACCTGCTTGAAAAACAAAAGTGTTAGAAGACCAAAGATTCGAGCTTCGGAAAAGAAGACCTTGGGGTGCAGACGACGATTAGACTTTGTATGTCTGCAAATCCTTCCAGACTTTGTTTATTCTGATTTAATACTTTTAATTAGTTATTTATTTTGAGTATTTTTACTCCGCCCTTCTCAACCCCCTGGGGAGGGGGGACTCAGAGCGGCTTTATTTATTTATTTATTTCGAGTATTTTTTCTCCACCCTTCTCAACCCCTGCGGGGGGACGACGACTCAGGGCGGCTTTATTTATTTATTTATTTATTTATTTATTATTTTACCGCCCCCCCCCCCCCCCCCCCCCCGGGGACGACGACTCAGGGCGGATTTATTTATTTATTTCGAGTATTTTTACTCCGCCCTTCTCAAGAAGTATATGGCCACTTTCCAAAGGCGCAACAGAAGAGCCATGTTTTAGATCCTTCTTGTGGGTTTTTATACAATCCATGGATAAATCAAGAATAATTCCACAGAAAGGGGAAAGCACCGATGCCACCTTGGAGGGGGCCAACCGCTCTGGCCGTTGGCATTCACTTGCCCAAGATTCAAAAGGTCCAAAAGCTCTGTCACAACTGATATTGTAGGAAAAGGTCAGTGCTGCTTTCAGGTTCTCCGGGGTGGACTAAGATACTAAGATCTTGCCTTTGGCCACTCTAAGCAGAGAAGGGTCCCTTTTGTGATAAGAGTTAAGATATAGTTGTCACATTGATTCATTCTTGGATTTATACCTGAGTATATAGTAGGTATGGACAAACTATTGGCTGTATTGTCGAAGGCTTTCATGGCTGGAATCACTGGGTTGTTGTAGGTTTTTCGGGCTATATGGCCATGGTCTAGAGGCATTCTCTCCTGACGTTTCGCCTGCATCTATGGCAAGCATCCTCAGAGGTAGTGAGGTCTGTTGGAACTAGGAAAAAGGGTTTATATATCTGTGGAATGACCAGGGTGGGACAAAGGACTCTTGTCTGCTGGAGCTAGGTGTGAATGGTTCAACTGACCACCTTGATTAGCATATAATGGCCTGACAGTGCCTGGAGCAAACTTTTGTTGAGAGGTGATTAGATGTCCTTGTTTGTTTCCTCTCTGTTGTTCTGCTGTTGTAATTTTAGAGTTTTTTAATACTGGTAGCCAGATTTTGTTCATTTTTGTGGTTCAGGAAACCATGAAAATGAACAAAATCTGGCTACCAGTATTAAAAAAAAGCTCTAAAATTACAACAGCTAAACAACAGAAGGGAAACAATATGGGACAACTAATCACCTCTCAACAAAAGATTGCTCCAGGCACTGTCAGGCCATCAAATGTTAATCAAGGTAGTCAGTTGAAACATTCACAGTTAGCTCCAACAGGCAAGAGTCCTTTGTCCCACCCTGGTCATTCCACAGATATAGAAACCCATTTTCCTGGTTCCAACAGACCTCACAACCTCTGAGGATGCTTGCCATAGATGCAGGCTATCTAATGCAATATTCTGAATCAACACCCCAAATAACCAAATGAATCTAAGTTGACCAAAAACTGATTCGTAATCCTTTTGGGACTAATGTTGGAGAGTGGTCCCTGGGCAAAGTGGTCCCTGGTTTAAAAAAAGGTTGGGAACCATTGCATTATCTACATTCTGGTCATATGAACTAGGGACAATCTGCTGTGGCTTGGTTACACACTTTGTTTGCTTTTCCTTTCAGTGACGGGGCCACTGTCAGAGTTGCAGATCGCGTATGTTTGCAGAGAAACATTGCAGGTAAACGATGGCTGTGGATCCTTTGGGGTTTCTGATGTGTTTGATGAGCACCAGAAACATGCCTCTTTCAGCAGGAAAACCCTGGACTTTTTATTTGACTTTTCGGCCAATGGCATGCGCTCAGTGGCTTGCAGACGACAATTAGACCTTATATGTCTGCAAACCCTTTCAGACTTTGTTTATTCTATACAGACTTTCTTTGTCACGTTCTGTGTCCTTGTGTCTTGATTTTCTTGTCCTCATTTTTAAAATTCCTTCTGGTGTTTGTAAGTTCTGTCCAGTTCTGTATTTTTGTTCTGTTCATGTGTTATTTATATTGATTGCATGTATATTTTCATCGGTGGCATAATAATAATAATAATAATAATAATAATAATAATAATAACAACACTTTATTTTTACCCCGCTACCATCTTCCCAAAGGACTCGGTGCGGCTTACATGAGGCCGAGCCCAAAAACAACAATACAAGCAATAATAACAACAATACAAGCAATTAAAAAACATAGACAATGCATAACAAAATTATATGAAAAACTATTGGAATGGTCAACGGAGACCGAATTAATAAAAGGTTGTATGGTGAAATGGGCAGAAAACTTTAAAAGACCAATAGCAATGTGCGACTGGGAAATAATGTGGAAGAAAAAACTCAAGTACACTTATGCAATGGATTTAAAGGAGAATTGGATGAAAATGTTTCATAGGTGGTATATGACTCCAGTCAAATTGAACCATATGTATAAAGAGGTCTCAAAAATGTGTTGGAAATGTGGAGAGCACGAGGGGAATTTTTTTCACTTATGGTGGAGCTGTGTAGAAACTCATAAATACTGGAAAGATATCCATGAAGAAATGCAAATAATACTTAACAAGAAATTCCCAAGGCAGGCAGAATAATATCTACTGGGAATTGTAGACACTGACATAGAGTTAGGCTCAAATGAAGACATTTTGTTTATGTATTTGACAACGGCCGCTAGAATTGTTTTTGTGAAATTCTGGAAGCAGAAAGAATTACCAGACAAACTCCACTGGATAAAGAAGTTGAATGAAATTAAGGACATGGATACACTAACTTATTTATTAAAAAAGAACACAGGTATTCCACCCAGACAGACAGATTGGTCAATAATTGATGACCATATTGAAACTAGATATAAGAATTTATAACTGTGCTGAGGATATAACGTAGAGATAAACTGGAACATATATAAGACTATGAATTAAAGAATTAACAATATGGGCAGAATTAGAAGGAAGTCCTACTATTTTTGTTTTTGTTTTTTGTTTGTTTTTTCTTTTGAATTTTGGACCTTGGGTTTTGGATGTTTTTGTTTAGTTTAGGTTAATATTTTTTTTCTTTGTCTTTTTCTCTTGGGTGTAATGGTTTCTAAAAATTTCTTACTCTTCTACCCTCTTGAATTATTCCCCCTCTTTCTCTGTATTTTAGAAAACTCAATAAAAAATTTATTTAAAAAAACAACATCGACAATAAAATACACAACATTATCAATAAAACAGCACATAATTAAAAACAGTGGGAAGGCCAAATGTAGAGTTAAAATTGGAAATAATGCTGGGACATGAATGAAAGGTGATACTGGTATTTGTGGAAGGGCATACGAGCAGACTTAAAGAGATGTAAAATGCTTTGGAGGACAAAGTGCTATGGGATCATTATTCCGGGAAGGCACATTGGAACAGCCACGTCTTCAAGCATCTCTCAGTGTGGTCACCCCCATGGGCCCACACCACAACATACCACAATATTGTATCTAAAATTGTAGAAAAAATTGACAAAATGAGAGACTATTGAGAAATAACAGCAGTAGCAGAAACAGCAGTATGTGCCTGTAGTGCATGCAGACAAAACCACATTACTGAAAGAGCCCTTGTAATTGGGTAACAATGACAGCTCTGACTGGAAAACATCTAGTTTTCAAGATATCAAAAAGGTAGTCACCATCTAAGGATTACAGTGCATCTAAACTTAAGTTGGTTGGTCAAAAAATATACTTGCGGTTATATCTGACTAAATTGATATTTGTATTTAAATACACAACACATTGGGGTCCCCCCAATAGATGCCACAGAGTTTTGTTATTAACTACCACTGTATTCTAGAACATTTTCGTGGTTTTTGTTTATGTATTTGTCATATTTAGGGAGTTTTTTTCAACTTGATTGGTGCATTTGTGGTCTGCGAGGATGTGGGACTGAAATGGTCTTTAGAGCTGGGAGAACGACAAAGTCCTTTTTGCCCCACAATGTCAACGTCCAATGAACCTCTTTGGGAAGAAGATGCCAACATCACATTTCTTTTATTTACTCATGCCCCACTTTTCCCTGCACATCTTTCTCCAAAAGCCAGTGTCACTTGCAGTAACAACACTTTAAATATCCAGAAATGCAGACCTTAGCATGAGGTTTGACCCTTGAGGCAGTGATATTTTGCAAAATATCAGTGCGGCAGCCTGAAACTTATTTGTCACATCCCTCAAAGTGTTTCAGAGGGCTTTCCTGGCAATGTTTGCATGGAAGGAGTTCCTCTTCCTTCCTCAGAGGCTGAGAGAATGTGACTTGTGTCATCCAGCTGAGACACAAACCCTGGTCTCTAGAGTCATAGGCCAATGCTCAAATCATTGCCCCACATTGGCTCTCAGCCTGAAAATGCCAATAACAAAAGTAGTACTTCAGGTTTATGTGGACATGTGCAGACTCCAAGAACAAAACAGTTAAGAAATCGCTCATTTGCAGGCATTAGGTGTGCGTATGCTCTTCCTGCTCCTCAGTGTGAAATGGCTGATGACTTGTTCACAGCTTCACAATGTGCCAATTTTTTGTGCAGCCGTTCAGCCAAGGACTGGGGACAGATTTCCCGGTTTGAGCCATTAACAGCTTTGCTGCTCCAATCATATCAGACAACAAGTTCCTCTCTTTCTTTTCAAAAGTGGCCCAGAGGTAATTGAATAATGGCCATAGAGTAATTAAAACCTTTGCTCTCTCCGTGTTGTGAACCCTTTCCCTCCTCCCACTGCTTTGCAGAAATGCTTCCGTTGGATTTTAATCCCAATTAATACTTATGACATATCCTGAAATTGAGAAATACTACCATCTCTATCATGTCTTAGGTTGTTGGGAATAAGTTCCACTGAATTCCTTGGTTGCAATTAATCTATACAATCCCTTAAAATAAATTTCAACAATATTCATATGTAATTTTTGCAAAATTTTCATTTGCAGTGGTTCAGGAAAATAGAAGAATGATTCTATCTTCACGCCAAAACACATTGTTGTCGTTGCTGCATTCCTCTGAGTCATTTCTGACCTACAGCAACTCTATCGCAGGGTTTTCGTAGCAAAATTAGTTCAGAAGAGGTTTGCCATGAAATGGTTGGCCCTCTTTTAATAGGACTGCCAAAATATTGCATTGTAATTATTGTGTTACAAACATTGCAGAAAAAGCTTAGTATGCTATACATATCTTATACTACTTATATTATTTTCTTCTCAAATTTCCACTCTCTTCCTTCACCCAACGTGTACTTTATTTATTTATCGTGTCAGGAGCAACCAGACATTTGTATTACATTTTTAACAAAACAAACAAACAGACAAAATTCAAAGTTTGCAAGCTTGGTAGTTGATTATATTTTTGTTTAGTACCCAACCTGTACTAAACAAAAATATAATAAATATTCAAATTGTCGAAGGCTTTCGTGGCTGGAATCACTGGGTTGTTGTAGGTTTTTCGGGCTATATGGCCATATTCTAGAAGCATTCTCTCCTGACATTTCACCTGCATCTATGACCTCACAACCTCTGAGAATGCTTGCCATAGATGCAGGCAAAATGTCAGTAGAGAATGCTTCCAGAACATGGCCATATGGCCCGAAAAACCTATAACAACCCAATATTCAAATTGACTTCTCACCTTCCAACTATATTTGACATTGTCACAATCCAGTTCCTTCATCTGCGTTTCCATTTTTGAGTGTATTTTCGTGGCTAAAACCATATAATGTGATAACTTGAAGTTCAGGCTTTCGGTGTGTTCATTCATTAAGTCCAATAAGAAAGAAGTCAGATGTAATTCCACATTGGTTTTCAAAATCTCTGGGATTTCATACAGAGTCATTTTCTCTCTCTCTCATATATATATATATATTACTTTATCACATTGTCACCTAGCCTTGGTAGTGTTTTCACCCACTTCCAGGTAGTATTGTCTGGGGCTGCTTTTAATCTTGAAGTTGCCTCCTCATTTTTGTTCCTTCTCTTTCCCTTCTTTTTCAAAGGGACTTGCATATTTGCACATGAAAGGGAAGATGCATCGGGACATTAAGGTAAGTGGTTTACCTTACCTTCAGAGAGTAAAAACTTTCTCAAGTCTAAGCTGATTTTCTGAAGGCAAACAAAAGTTTGGAATGTTCTTGAGTGTTTCTTTTGTTTGTTTGGTTTATTTAGGGTGCAAATATTTTGCTGACGGATCACGGGGACATCAAGTTAGGTAAGTGAGTTACGCCCTTGTAAGTTTCCTTGAAAGAGTAGACATACGGTAGACCTCTGCAGGGGTCTACTGTATACCATGCAGCTGTGCACAAGTCTATTTAGGGACCACCAAACACAACACCCAAACACCCATCAAGGAACATTAAAGGAAATGCAGACTACTTCAACCAGAGAAGTCAGCCATAGCAGAGCACCTGATGAACCAACCTAGACACAGAATATGATTTGAGAACACAGAAATGCTGGACCACTCCAACAACCACCATGTCAGGCTACACAGAGAAGCCATAGAAATCCACAAACACGTGGACAGTTTCAACAGAAAGGAAGAAACCATGAAAATGAACAAAAAATTTAAAAAAAACTCTAAAATCATAACAGTAAATAAAGAACGCTCAAAAAAGAACACTTAAAGGCAGGGGAACTCCAGACAAGAAACAATCAGAGACAGCTAATCACCCCTCAACAAAGGATTCCCCCAGGCAGTAAGATGTCACACCTGAAACAGCCATGCCATTAAATGCTAATCAAGGTGGCCAGTGGAAACATTCACACCTACCTCCAACAGACAAGAGTTCTTTCTCCCACCCTGGACTTTCTACAGATATATAAACCCATTTTCCTAGTTTCCAACAGACCTCACAACCTCTGAGGATGCCTGCCATAGATGCAGGCAGAACGTTGGGAGAGAATGCTTCTGGAACATGGCCATACAGGCCGAAAAACCTACAACAATCCAATGATTTCGGCCATGAAAGCCTTCAACAAAACTATAACCTTGTTTTTGGACTGATTTATTGACAGATATTCCTCTTCACAGTAAGTACTGAAAACTTTCAAAAGATTAAGACCCAACTGAGAGAGGGAGATAAGTACAATATCATCTGATTGTTTCCTGTCTTTCTCCCACCCTGGACATCATTCTACAGATATATAAACCCCACTTGCCTCGTTTCCAATAGACCTCACAACCTCTGAGGATGCCTGCCATAGATGTGGGCAAAACGTCAGGAGAGAATGCTTCCAGAACATGATCATACAGGCTGGAAAACACACAACAACCCAGTAGACAGACAGTGAGGCCAGTTGAGGAACACCTTTCAGATGCTTCTACACCTCAGGATACATGCAGTTTGCACCACTTGAACTGCACTGACTCAATGCTGTGGAGTTGTCATTTGGTGAGGTACCAGGAAATCTGATGTCCATATGAAAGTTCAACTTTCACGATCCCATGAAAGTTCTAGCAATCTCTAGGTCAGTGGTTGTCAATCTGTGGGTCCCCAGGTGTTTTGGCCTACAGCTCCCAGAAATCCCAGCCACTTTACCAGCTGTTAGTATTTCTGGGAGTTGAAGGCCAAAACACCTGGGGACCCACACGTTGAGAACCACTGCTCTAAGTCTTCTAATGTGGTTCTTTGGTCATGTTCCATTGGAAATTGACCATAGGGGCAGGTTGGAAGGTCTAGGGTTTCCTAGAAAGATGTTCTCGCAAATAAAATAAAATAGCAATTTCTTGATTTGCAGTTTTTCACTTTTACAGGGGCCTTGTTCTTTAACCTCACTAAATACATTTCACTTTAGAATATGCTGTGTGATTTTTAGTTATATATCCATAGTCATAGCTTAGAGAAGACAGTGATGCTGGGGAAAATGAAAGGAAAAAGGAAGAGGGGCCGAAGAAGGGCAGGATGGATGGATGGCATTCTTGAAGTGACTGGCTTGACTCTGAAGGAGCTGGGGGTGGTGACGGCCAACAGGGAGCTCTGGCATGGGCTGGTCCATGAGGTCACGAAGAGTCGGAACCGACTGAATGAATGAACAACAACATCCATAGGCATAGGACATAAGAGGAAGATTTGTAGAAAGAACACTTCTAGGTCCCCCAGTACAATATTGAGGGCAACTTCAGGTGGACCTAGAGTTGGAAAACTAGAGATTCCTAGAGAAGAATTCTCTCATGTTAAAAAGAATAGCATTTTTACATTGGACACTTTCCACTTTTGCAGAGGTTCTAGGTTCCTCACTCCAATTTACGTATCATAAACCACTGATATCCAAACCTTCAGGAGTTTGTCTAATCCTCTAATCCTTCGTTGAAATCATCCTGTTTACTCTCCACAGGAGTCTCATCCAATCCTGTTTGGTGGAGATTATTTTTTTTGTCGTGTCAGGAGCGACTTGAGAAATTGCAAGTTGCTTCTGGTGTGAGAGGATTGGCTGTCTGCAAGGACATTGCCCAGGGGATGCCCGGATGTTTTGACATTTTTCCATCCTTGTGGGAGGCTTCTCTCATGTCCCCACAAGAGGAGCTGGAGCTGATAGAGGGAGCTCACCTGCACTCTCCCCGGATTTGAACCTGCAACCTGTCGATCTTCAGTCCTGCCGGCACAGGGGTTTAACCCACTGTGCCACCAGGGGCTCCTATGGTAGAGATGATGGGAGTTGTAGTTTGACTCCTCTGACACCAGTTTAGAAAAGGCAGGATTGAGGGATACTGGTGGATATGACCCACAGTTAAACCCATTAGCAAGCATTCCTGTGCCACATGAAGGGCATTGCTAACAAAAGGTAAACCTGGGTCTGTTTCTGTGCTCCTGAGAAGAGAATGTCTAATTTTCCTGATATTTTCTTTGTGCAAAGTGGAAACTTCTTCCATCCTTTCTTCCGCAGCTGACTTCGGCGTAGCGGCAAAAATAACCGCCACCATTGCGAAGAGGAAGTCGTTCATTGGCACGCCTTACTGGTAATAAATTCCTTGGGATTCTCCAGACAAGGGCCTGGGAGGTTGACTCAGGGTTTCCAGACCGGGCAGTAAAGAGCCTGAAACAGATGCTTTCGGCCAAGGATGCCGTGAGATGATGGCAGCAGGCTTGGCTTTCGGACCTTTCTTTCCATCTGGGTCCCTGCTATATATATATTACCCATTTGAGTCGTGCCAAATGTCTTCTGTCAGATTCATGTATAGGTTCACTTTAATGATTTATTGGAAATGCCTCTCCATGTGAGCCAGAGCATGTTTGATTCAGCAAGTCTTTCACAGTTTGGCAGGTACATTTTTGCTGTGACAGACATCCCTAAATTACTCATTTGCACGGTCATTTTGGTCTGCTATCAGAAATACTGAAAGCAACAGAAATTCATCTTTCCTTGCAATAAACCCCAGTGCAGGGTACATGTGCATCTCCTAAAGCATACCTTCAACATGTCCCATTTAGTCTTATTAAGACTTCTCCAGATCTCTTTCAAAAGTAAACATATATTTCTATTTATCGGGACCGTAGGTGCAAATTAGAATTCTCTGATCTTTCGCAAATAGATTTTCTGTTCCAAAAAAGTTGATTACTTCTGGTTTTTTATTTCATGACAGACGGATACAGTTTTAAGTAACCTGCATTTTTAAACTAGGTTAACAGTTGAGCTGCTTTGAGTCTCCTGCAAGAGAGATAAAGCAGGGTATAAATATAATACTAATAATAGCAATAGCTTAATAATGGCTGGGAACTACAGTTCCGAGGACTCCATAAGGCAAGGAATGACATCAATCCATATAATCTTCACCTCACTACTTCTGAGGATGCTTGCCATAGATGCAGGCGAAACATCAGGAGAGAATGCCTCTAGAACATGGCCATGTAGCCCAAAAAAACCTACAACAATCCAATCTGGACTGAGGTTAACCCTGTCAAGCCACAGACAGCGCACCAGCCATAAATAGTGGTTCACCAAGAACTGAGCAAACCTTCTGCTGCCAGTCTGAATTTACCCAGCTGGGGAACTCCCAAATTGGATCCACACCACATAAATAGAGCAGTTTGATACCAGTTTGATACTGCCCATGGCATGTGGAGGTCTGTCATTTAGAGAATTACATGATATTCTCTTCTGTAGTTCTTGTTGCACACCTACATGTTGTTGTCTTCTTCTAGTGACCCTAAGGCGACACACTTGTGGGATTTTCTTGGCAAGATTTGCTCAGAGCAGGTTTATCGTTTCCTTCCTCTGAGGCTGAGATAATCCGGCTTCACCAAAGTCACCCAGTGGGCTTATCATATGGCCAAGTGGGATTTGAACCCTGGTCTCCCAAGTCATAGTCCCAGTATTCAAACCACATCTGCTCTCATTACCTTTTAGAGACTTACAACAACAATAACAACAATAATAAAACTTTATTTATATCCCACCACCATCTCTCCAAGGGGATTCGGGGCGGCTTACATGAGGCCAAGCCCAGCAAAAATTCATCAGTAAAAAAAACAACAAAGCAAGCAAGCAAATAAAACACAATACAATATCATAAATAACATATAAGTAGTAACACACAAGAGTTTTAAAACACTGTGGGCAAGGCCCGATGTAGTAGATTTAAAATTTAAAATACTGGGCGTGAACAGAAGTAGGGTATCTAAACAGGGGGTTTTAGAGGGTAATGTAGGGAGATCAATCCAACGGGTAGATAAAGTGCTTCAGAGGACAGATTGCAGAAAATTGGTCAGATAAATTGGTTCAGGGGAATACATTTGCGATTTTTAAGTACACCCCCAAACAATATATCCCAGGATGCCATATGATAGGCACGCAGGTCAAACTGTGTAGTTTGGATGCTCCCCTGGAATCCTTTGGTATAAAAGGCTGGTGGGTTGTGCCCCTCTTGCGTTCTAAGTAGCACAGGCCTGGTTTGGTTTACAAGGTTAGACAAAGTATTAGCAATGAGTTGTGCAAAAGCTTCTTCCATCTAACACTGCTGTTGTTTTCCCCTGCATCAGGATGGCCCCAGAAGTAGCTGCAGTAGAAAAAAACGGGGGCTACAACCAGCTCTGCGACATCTGGGCCGTGGGCATCACGGCCATTGAGCTGGGAGAGCTCCAGCCACCCATGTTTGAGCTTCACCCCATGAGGTCAGTGGACAAAACATTGGGGTGCCACCTTAAATTTGCCAACACATAACCTAGGAATGGCAACTGCTGATGAACAAAGCCTTCACATCTCCATCCCCGTATCCAGTGGGCCACATCATTGTATTTCAGCCAGTGCCACTTCTGGCTGCCATTCTGTCCAGTGTTCAGCTAAGTTTATTTCTCTTTAAGGGAGGAAGTGGAGCTGGGAGGGTGTGGGAAAAATAAACTGCTATATTTCATTGAGTTTTGGGTCAGTTTAATACCAAATATGGAGAGGGGGTCTGGGGCTTTTGCAGTAGTTCAGAAGGGTTTCAAGAGGCTGCCCTTTGGGTTCCTAAAGGCTACTTAAGACTTGGTTCAGTTCTGATTTACCCAGTGGAATGGAATTGGGATGTATGAGGCATTAGGAATCTGTTCCTTATTAACCACTAGCGTATCTACCTGGCATTGCCCAGGTGTCATGGAGACCACTGCTTGCCTCATCTCACCTTTCTCTGAGAGGCCTTCCTTACAGTGTCTTCATGGCAATGATGGGCAAACTTCTTCCTTACTTCCTTCTCCTCTTATTCACATCACCTTTATTTCCTATTGACATCACAGAGGTGTCACTTAACCTAGCAACAGCCAATCCAGTGACATCACAGAGGGCCGCTTCACCTAGCAGACAGACAAACATATATGCATAATCTTTCAAACACACAAATGACTGTGTATACCCATTGTTACTCAGTGTTACACAGCTCCCCTGCCTTTATCCCTTCTTTCTCTTTTCCTCCACTCATAACTTTTCCTCTTCCACTCCCCCCTTTTTTCTTTCCTCCTCTTCCTCCATTCTTTTACTTCTCTCCTTCCTTCCTTCCTTCCTTCCTTCCTTCCTTCCTTCCTTCCTTCCTTCCTTTCTTTCCCCTTCCCCATCTCCCATCTCTGAGAGGGCCTACCTTCCAATGGCTCCATGGCAACATGGTTCTCTTTCTGGCCTCCTTCCTTCCTTCCTTCCTTCCTTCCTTCCTTCCTTCCTTCCTTCTTCCCCTCCCCTCATACACACATCACCTTTCTTTCCCAGAGACATCACAGAGCCACTTTACTTAGCAACAGCCAATCCTTTACCTACCAGTAGGCAACCCAGTGACGTCACTTCACTGAGCGACATGCTTTGTTGTACAGACAGACATATACGCATTATGTATACATAGATTTAGTTAACTTTTCCCCTTCCAAAGAAGGAGTCACCCAATATGGCTTCCTGCCAGGAAATATTTTTAAAACTCATCCAAGGAAATGTATTTATGAGTTAAATATCAGAGCGAAGAGAAGGGAGGCCAGGGGACAGCACCATCTTGTCTCCTGTGCTAGTCTAATAATGTTATAATATAATATATAATATATTGTATATACATATAATATTTATAATATTGTAATGTAATGCAATATAATACTAGTAATAATAATATGATATTATAATTATATATTTATATTACATGTAATATTACTAATAATATTACAGTAAAATTGATATAGTGCAATATAGCAATATTTAAAACTGATATTGTACTATGTTAATAATATATTGTATGTATATATACCTTGTAAGCCGCTCTGAGTCCCCTTCGGGGTGAGAAGGGCGGCATATAAATGTCATAAATAAATAAATAAATAAATTAAAATCGGCACCCACGTGCATCCCCCAGGCCACCAAGCCTTCAAGTCAATAAATAAAATTCAGCTGCCAGCACTTGTGTGTATTCTCTCTCAGCTCAGCAGGGTTTGTTTTTTCTTGTCTTTCAGGGCCCTCTTTCTCATGTCCAAAAGCAACTTTCAACCTCCAAAGCTAAAGGAAAAAACAAAATGGTGAGTCTGATAGTCACTTCTCCCCAGAATGACGTGGGTTTGTTTACCTGATCTGACCCAAATCCGAGGCCTGTTTCAGTCATCACTTGAATAATGCAGTGCCTGTGCCTAATTCCTCCTTGCGCAGCCCCAGCACATCATATTTTTTCCGTCTTCTTTATAAAGGTCATCAACATTCCATAATTTTGTCAAAGTGGCACTCACCAAAAACCCAAAGAAGAGGCCAACAGCAGAAAGGCTTCTCACAGTAAGTCTGCCTCTGTCTTTTGGAGCACATCCGTATTGCATTACTGTGAATGGACTCAATGTGTGTGTGTGTCTTTGCGCCAGGAGGTCTCACATCCTGAGGCTTTTGTCAGTCTTGTAAAATACGTTGACTGCTGAAGCCATTGCAGAACGCTTTCTTATATGTACAAGTATCTTTCGATTCAGATTCTACTCAGATAATTGCCTGTTCCGCTATGAATCATGTGTTCAAGTTTCCAAAGACTATGACTGCTTTCTTTAAAACGGCAGCTCCAGAGAATTATAGAAAATTATGGAAAATATGGAAACCTCGAGTGCAAAAGCTGCTGGAAATTGAAACGAAAGAACTAGGCCTAGCTTTGTTCATGCGAAATATTAAACTGTAAATTAGTGTTAGGTGAGATAGCATGTTCAATGTGTCCTTGAAGGCTTTCATGGCCAGAATCACTGGGTTGCTGTGAGTTTTCTGGGCTGTCTTGCCATGTTCCAGAAGCATTCTCTCCTGACATTTCAGCCACATCTATAGCAGGCATCCTCAGAGGTTGGAAATGAGGCAGTTGAGGTTTATATATCTGAAATGCTGTCCAGGGTGGGGGTAAGAACTCTGTTCTGTTTGAGGCAAGTGTGAACGTTGTCATTGGCCACCTTGATTAGCATTTAATGGTTTTGCAGCTTCAAGGTTTGGCTGCTTTCTGCTTGGGGGAATTCTTTGTTGGGAGGTGATTAGCTGGCCCTGATTGTTTCTTGTCTGGAATTCCCCTGTTTTTGAGTGTTTTTTCTTTACTTACTGTTTTGGTTTTAGAGGTTTTTTTAAATACTGTTAACCAGATAAGAAACAATCCAGCTAATCACCTTTCAACAAACAGACTCTGAAAATAACTTCAACATTTCTCCATTGGCACTGAGCTTCTCAAACCGGCAACAGAAAGTGACCTCGTGCCACCATTTTGAGAGGAAAACAGAGGCACTGGGGGTTTCTCAGCTGCTTGAGAGAGTGGATGGCAGATATTTTTGCAGGTTTTCTACACTTGGGAGGAGCTTTCCTGTGTTTAGAGACAAGGTAAAGGTAAAGGTTTTCCCCTGACATTAAATCCAGTCGTGTCCAACTCTGGGGGTTGGTGCTTATCTCCATTTCTAAGCTGAAGAGTTGGCGTTGTCCATAGACACCTCCAAGGTCATGTGGCCGGCATGACTGCATCGAGTGCCGTTACCTTCTCGCTGGAGCAGTACCTGTTGATCTACTCACATTTGCATGTTTTCGAATCGCTAGGTTTATAGAAGCTGGGGCTGATAGTGGGAGTTCATGCCGCTCCCCGGATTCGAACCTTCGACCTTTTGGTCATCAACAAGCTCAGCAGCTCAGCGCTTTAACCCACTGCGCCACTGGGGACCTCTGTTTAGAGACAAATATTTTCCAAAATTCATGAAAACGTTTTAAAAATTGAAAAGTTGAGCTTTGAAGAATAGTAGGGTGCGTCAAGGGCCATGAAAAGGGGACCCAAAGGTCACTTGCAACCTATAGGCCAGGCCTGGGCAAACTTAGGCGCTCCAGGTGTTTTTGGGTTTAAACTCACACAATTCCTAACAGCCTATTGGCTGTTAGACATTGTGGGAGTTGAAGTCCAAAACACCTGGAGGGCCCAAGTTTGCCCAGGCCTGCGATATAATGATTGTTCCTCTAAGGCGAGCACCTGATGCCTTCCTAATGCCCACATTCTTGCAGGTTAAATTCCTAATCTAATATTAAAGGGCTTGGGCTGTGACCAATTTTGCATAATTCTGACTCCTAGACACTGGCAGACTCAGAATATAGCTTCAGCATTTATCCATTGTCATGCTGAAGACAAACAGAGCTGAGTGTGCTGGTTAGTGTTGACACGAGCTGTGTTCAATACAGAACGGTGTCTCCTGGAACCTGAAGAAATTTTGATGCATATGGTGCACAGCTAACCTCTGAAATTCACTTCCACAGGAAACAGTGATGGCTGCCAACTTGGGTGCCTTTGACAGAGGACTGAATAAAATCCATGCCATTAGGCCTATCACTAGTCAGAAGGGATAGCTCTTCAGTTTCAGAGGAAATTGTTGAGATTAACTTCACAATTCAACAGCAGATCAGTTGCACAACTTCAGCGCTTTGCAGTAGCTTCTTGCTGCACAGTATTTTCAGTCAACTGCTCCCACAGCCTGCAGTCACTCTGGAACCTTTTACAGACACTTGAGCACATGCCCGGCCATTGTCAGTTTTACCATTGTCTTTCCCCCAGTCTAGATGATATTACAAACTTACCACAGCATATAGTTATATCTTGTCTTAGCGGACAAGTTCTTTTAATTACATATAGCCTTCGACGAACAACATCACAGCACATGGAGAAATGTACACTGTACACGACTTCCTTATATACAGTTCATTTACACATAGCAATCACTGATTGGTTCCCAACTCATTGACTTAACTCAAACCCAGGATTGCATCATTCACAATCACCTGGACTAGGCCAGAACACATTCCCCAAATGAAGTTCTACATACAGTTAATGCATGACTCAGCATTTCCAATAGAAGCCCATTAGCAGTGCATGACTCAGCTATATCACATTGCAATACATTGTAAAACCTGACAGAAATAAAGTGCAGGGATATAGTTGCTTTATGGCCTTAGTGGTGGGCTCCCAAATGGAGCAACTGGCTGGACAGGATGTCAACAGAAGGTTGGACTAGATAAGCTTTTTGTGTGGTTCCAACATAACTCATGTTCTTAAGCATACCCAACAGCAAACTTGATTGCTCTTAGGTGTCTCCGGTCCTCAACTTGTCCTCTGTGTGTCATTTCCCTTTCTTTGTCTTTTAGCATAGCTTTGTGGGGCAGCCGGGTCTTTCTCGCTCGCTGGCCGTTGAACTCTTGGACAAAGTGAACAACCCCGACAACCACCCTCACTACAGCGAGACAGACGATGATGACTTTGAGGTGAGGCCTCTCTTTGCAAACTGGATGGAGTTCCAGATCTCACTAAGCAGCAACTGAAACATATTCTTGCTATTGCATAAGTTGGATTGGTGGTAAAAGGGGCAGCAGTAGTGAGCACAGCTGGATTTTGTTGGACATGAAAGCTAGGGGAGGTGATGATCATACTGTCCTGACCAATTCAAGCAGGGCTACCTGCTCTATGTGGGAAGAACTTGTGCAATAAAACTGCTTCCAGGAGAGGCCTTCACTCCCAAAAGTTATGATTATGATGAGGAGAAGCAAGTGAGGCAAGATCCAGAAAGGAGGGATATGAGCAAATCCACTTGCTTGGACCTTTGTATCCAGTATCCACTGTGGTTAGGTTCCAGGATTTCTATTAATACCTGAAAAAATCCATGGATGTCAAGTTGCAATAGTGCAGCAAAATGGTGCCCCCATATAAAACTGCACATCTTTGAATATTTTTGAGCCACAATTGATTCAATCTGTGATTGCAGAAATTGAAAAAGGATTAAGATGATTGCATAAGATCATGGAGCCAGGAAAATTGATAATTTCTTTAGAAATGTACATCAATAATAATAATAATAATAATAATAAACCTTTATTTATACCCCGCTACCATCTCCCGGAGGACTCGGTGCGGCTTACAAGAGGCCGAGCCCAAATACATCAATAAAAACAACACAGCAATACAGACAATAAATACACTCATAAACAAAGCAATAAACAATAACAGTAACACCACGACGCATTAAAAACCTATGGCAGGGCCAAATGTAATATTTTAAAATACTGGGCATGATAAGGTGACTTTTTCTTTTGTCGTGCAAGTCGCTTCTGGTGTGAGAGAATTGGCTGTCTGCAAGGACGTTGCCCAGGGGACACCCGGATGATTTTTTTGATGTTTTATCATCCTTGTGGGAGGCTTCTCTCATGTCTCCGCATGAGGAGCTGGAGCTGATAGAGGGAGCTCATCCCCCTCTCCCCAGATTCGAACCTGCGACCTGTCCTGCCTTCAGTCCTGCCGGCACAGGGCTTTAACCCACTGCGCCACTGGGGGCTCCAGGTGACATATAACTAGGATAGGTATTTGGAGAGAAATGGAGCAAGGAGACAATCCTAGATCATTAGTAAAGTGCGATTAGGAACATGTTGCTTAGGGTTTCCCCCACCAGTATCCAGTGGGGGGAAATGAGAAGGCTTTAGTGGGGTGTAGAGGAAATGACATTTATCAGTTCTTTTTCTTGGTCTCTGTGGGCCTGGAGCTTGGGTATTGCAGTCTATGATCACTGTGTTTTCTTATATCCTTGTAGCCTCACCCCATTATCCGCCACACCATTCGCTCCACCAACCGGAATGTACGAGCAGAACGGACAGCGTCTGAAATAAACTGTGAGTTACTCAAATACTTTTTCAACATATTAAATAATAAGTATTTATGTATTTATCATGTCAGAAATGAATTGATAATTTAGTTATAAATGTATCTATATAATTAAATATTAAGTGAAATGTAAGCATTCAAACTTACCAAAATCCAGTTGTCCAATGTGGGCTAGGGAAATCTACATGTAGGTGGGTCTGCAATTGGTTAAGCGGACGAACCTAGAGGGAGATTCTCCCCAAGGCTTCTTCCTCTTCATCCTGGAAAGAAGTGACGAGCGGAGTGCCATCAGCAGGGTTCCGTCCTGGGCCCGGTCCTGCTCAGGATCTTCATTAATGACTTAGAAGAAGGGCAAGAAGGCAGGATCATCAAGGTTGCAGACTACACCAAATGGGGAGGGAGAGCCAAGACTCCAGAAGGCAGGAGCAGAATTCAAAACAATCTTCACAGATTAGAAAGGTGATTGGCCAAAACTAACAAAATGAAGTTCAGCAGGGACAAATGCAAGATACTCCACTTTGGCAGAAAAAACGAAATGCAAAGATACAGAATGAGGGACCCCTGGCTCGAGAGCAGTACGTGTGAAAAAGATCTTGGAGTCCTTGTGCACAACAAGTTAAACATGAGCCAACAATGGGATGTGGCTGCAAAAAAAGCCAATGGGATTTTGGCCTGCATCAAGAGGAGCACCACAATTCAAGAGAGATATTGACAAGCTGGAATGTGTCCAGAGGAGGGCAACTCAAATGATCAAGGGTCTAGAGAACAATTTTAATAATCATTTTATCAGGGCCTCCCTTATTAAAACGTGGGAAAATATAAATTAAGATGGTATAATAAAATCCCAGTGTGGATATCCCCTGTAGAAGCGAGGCATAAAAGAGAGCTGGGGGGAAAAATTGGCTGACATATCAACAAATATTGAAATATTCAACAGAACAACAATTTACCCTAAAATCACTGGAAGAACTTAGAATAGTGAACAAAAAAATAACCTGGTTCCAATACCTCCAAATCCAACAAGGATTCAAAGAAGATGGAAAAATCGGTTTTAACCGAGAACAAGGAATATGGGAATTAATTCTAGAAAAAGAGAAGAAATTGATTAAAATATTATACCAACAATTATTAAAATGGTCCACAGAGGATGAACAGGTCAAAAACTGTCAAATTCAATGGGCCAGAGATTTAGGTAATAACATATTAATGCACCAATGGGAAGAAATATGGAACATTAAAATAAAATATACGGTAGCCAGTGATTTAAGGGAAAACTGGTATAAAATGTTCTAACGTTGGTACTATACCCCAGAAAAGCTAGCTAAATTTAATAAAGGAATATCTAATGGCTGCTGGAAATGGGGCAAAGAAAGGAGAACTTTCATCCACGTATGGTGGGAATGTAAAAAAGTGAAAAAATATTGGAAAGAAATACACACCATCGTCCAAAAAATACTAAAAATAAAATTCACTAGATCCCCGGATATTTACTTATTGGGCATTTTAAACTCAAAATTTAACAAAAGTCAAGAGAGGGTATTATTATTATTAAGTACTGCCGCTAGAATCCTTCTTGCAAAATTCTGGAAGTTAAAAGAAATCCCAGACTCAGATGCATGGATCATCAAAGTACTAGAGATTGTACAAATTGACTCTTTGTCCCAAAGACTAAACAACCACAGCAAAAAAACCAACTGGTTAGGGCTTAAGGACTACTGCACGGAAAAAAGAATTCCACTGACGATAGACCTGTCCAGCATATAAGGAACTACACCTAAAGAAGAGACATCGGAGAAGCAGAAGGAAAAGAAGCAACACACTCAATTTTCAAAAGATCCAAAGACTCTCGGGAAGTCCTTTTTAAACTGCACCTCAGTGATATTGTCACAACCTCTCCCCCCCCCCCCTCACCCCCTTCCCATCACCGGCAAAAAAAAGGGGGGGGGTCTGGAGAACAAGCCCTATGAGGAGTGGCTTAAGGAGCTGAGCATGTTTAGCCTGAAGAAGAGAAGGCTGAGAGGAGATATGATAGCCATGTATAAATATGTGAGAGGAACCCACAGGGAGGAGGAGGGAGCAAGTTTGTTTTCTGCTTCCCTGGAGACCAGGACACAATGGAACAATGGCTTCAAACTACAAGAGAGGAGATTCCATCTGAACATGAGGAAGAACTTCCTGACTGTGAGAGCTGTTCAGCAGTGGAACTCTCTGCCCCGAAGTGTGGTGGAGGCTCCTTCTATGGAGGCTTTGAAACAGAGGCTGGATGGCCATCTGTTGGGGGTGCTTTGATCGCGATTGTCCTGCTTTTTGGCAGAATGGAGTTGGATTGGATGGCCCACGAAGTTTCTTCCAACTCTAGGATTCTATGATTCTGCAGGAGGCAGAAACCAGATTTTAAGTAGATTTTTCTCTCTCGTGTGATGAAGCTCTAAAGTATTGAATCAATGGAATTGTGTTGACCCACCTTCCAATAGTAGATTCTGGGGAATCACCAGCAGGATCCCAACCATGAAATGTCACATTCTTCTATTTGATGTAACCATTGATCAGTGCCTTCGAAATTTATTTGTCCTGTTCCCTTTTAAAATTGGAATCCAAAGTGACTCACAACTTAAAGAGCAACAGAAAGTGGACACTTTGAATTAAACTAGTTACAGTTATTAAAACAATCCCGTTAAAGTATAATTGAAAAATAACTTATTGCTTGGTTAGTCATCTCTGAATAATGAGGCTCTTTCGTTGAAAATTGCCCCAGGCATTTGCAGATTCCCCTGTCAAACAGCGCTTACTGTCTTAATTAAATCTTCTTTTGTGGCTCCACCTACTGATCTTCCATACTTCAATGCGTGCTGTTTCAGAATAAGGTTTTGCAAAATTATTATTTCAAAGATATATATTTTGATACCCCTCCCCTATGAATAGTTCCCTTAGTAGAAGAGACAAGGCAACACTTCAGAATCTCAGATTTCATTGACAACACTTGCTACAAAATACAATATACAAAAAAATACAGAATACAAAAGTTTTGCATCCATAAACATTTATTGTGTTTCTCTGAATTACTTGTATTAATACACGTGAATGTTTGACCTTGTTGGTGCTTCCGGGATGTTATTAGAGGGAATGTTTTAAAGTTTACTTCGGGAGAACGTTGAGTGTATTTAAAGGTGTGAATGTCCATGTTTTCCAGTTGACAAGTTGCAGTTTGAGCCGCCGCTCAGGAAGGAGACCGAAGCCCGGGATGAAATGGTAGGATTTGGTCCGTGCCCCCCCTCCCGCCCCCATCTCCCACTTAGACCTGCAGCTTTGCTTCCTTCTTGTATCTGCTCTGGTTCTGTTCAGTAATGTAGCCAAACCAGTTTTTGGCAAGGCCAGGCCGCAGAGCCTCGGGCGTTGTGATTTATGATGTTCCCTGTTTAGCATTTTTCAATAGGCAAGAGAAGTTAAAACTTTCTAAACCTCTCCTTCACAACAAACCTTCACAGCCGCTTTGAGTCTCCTTGTTGGAGAGAAAAGTGGGGTAGAAATAAATATAATAATTGGGTTGCTGTGAGTTTTCCGGGCTGCCTGGCCATATCCCAGAAGCATTCTCTCCTGACGTTTCACCCACATCTATGGCAGGCATCCTCAGAGGTTGAGGGGGTCTGCTGGAAACTAGGCAAGTGGGGTTTATATATCCGTGGAATGGGAGAAAGAACTCTTGCCTGTTTGAAGCAAGTGTGAATGTTGCAATTGCCCAGCTTGATTAGCATTGAATAGCCTTGCAGCTTCAAAGCCTGGCTGCTTTCTGCCTGAGGGAATCCTTTGTTGGGAGGTGTTAGCTGTCCCTGATTGTTTCCAGGTTTCTGAGTCTAGTTTATGTGTCTCATCTGGAAATTGCTCCACCTCAAACAGAGCGGTTGACACCAATTCCAGACACCTCTGGGTGCCATTTCCAGGTGGCATTAGCTGTTACTTTTGGTCGTTCCACGCTCCTTCCTGAGCGCATATTTTCTGCTTCTTGCAGGTGGTTGCTGGTGGTGCTCACTTTGCCTCACATTGGAGTCCTTTTGTGGATGGCAGCAGCTGTGCCAAGTAAGTATGCGCTTCCCTCCATCAAGAGTGTTTCAAGGGAACCTCCCACTTTGCAGGAAAGGAACAGGATAACTCAATGAGACCAAGTCTGACTGTGAAGGCCTAAGACCACAAGGAGGGATGTGTGGTCTTTGGTTTGTAGCTCCCAGCATTCCTCACTATTGGCTATGCTGGTTAGAACTACTGGGAGCTGGAGTCCAATGATATTTGTAGGGGCTGCATTTCACTCCAGTGCTCAGTGTTGGCATGAAGCTTCCATTTAGGAGAGCAGTAGGATAAGAGTGGAAAAACTGTATGTTCTCACCAACAGTGACTTTGTTGTTGTTGTTGTTGTTGTTGTTGTTTTGCTCATTTGTCATTTGCTTGGCACACCTGTTAGGGTTCTGGTGGGCATGTCTAGCTCCACAAACATTACCTGGGCTAAAGTCTTAGGCCAGGCCTGGGCAAACTTCAGCCTTCTTCCAGGTGTTTTGGGCTTCAACAGTAGGAGGATGGAATCATTGCCTACCTTAAGCAAAAGTCATACCTTGTGGGAACCCATCTTGGCCAATTCTCACCCTCTCAGCCTCAGAGGAAGATAAGAATAACTCTTCCCCAAATAAATCTTGCCAAGAAAACTCTATGACAGACTTTTCTTAAGATCGACGTCAGTAGGACATTTATTTATTTATTTATTTGTTGTGTCAGGGCAACCAGTCAATTGTATTACATTTCTAACAGAACAAAACAAACAAACAGACAAAACACAAAATTTGCAAGTTTGGTAGTAGGACATGACTTGGAGGCACACCACTCAAAACATGGACATAGTTTTGCTGCTGGACTGATTTCTTGAGACTGACACTTGGCATGCCTTTTCATGTGGTCAGGAGTTATGGAAGCCAAAATGCATTCCTTGTTAGAGCCGTGGGGTTAGACCCCAGAATACCTCACTTGGATCCTCGTGTTTCTTGAATTATAGCCTAGCCTGACTGAACATTAAATATGCAGCAAGGTTTGGGATCTGGAGCGCCTGCCTCATATAGAGAAACCAGTAGATGGGTTCCTCACTGATGCAATCCTTGCCCATGTTGTGTGTTTTTGTGAACCTCTGTATTGAGGGATGCCTGCATGCGGAAGGAATGTCTCAATTCCTCAGAATACCCAGGCTCTGCAAAGCCACAGATGGAATTTGTGATGTTGTGGGCCAGAGTTTGTCTGTAGCCCAGGAAAGAGGGGCGTGACCCAGAAAAGAAGGGTGTGCGCTGATGTGTGTTTTATTAATTTGCATGTTGGGATTCCCAAGATCTCATGGGATTCAGAGAAGAGCCTTGTGGACCACAAGTTGCTTGTGCTGGAATGTGAGGAGAAAATTGTGAGCTGGATGCAGGGAAGCAGCCCACGGCAAAGAAACCATTTTGCCTTATAAGGCCCTCGCTCCAGCATCCTTGGCCTTGCAAAACAACTTCGCCTTGGAGTTGCTCTTTTTCCTAAAGTGTTCTTTGTACCACCATGTCACCCTTAATGCCTGATTCAAGAGGCTAAGCAGATAAAAAAGGGAAGGTATGGAAGGAGACTACTTTTAGCATGCACTTACATTGATACAGACCCATTTCTTCAGATGCAATACAGCTTCAGCAGGAGCTTTGGGCGGTTTCCATTGATGTCCTCAAATGCACTGAAGCTTTCACATGAAGTGGATGTAAATCTACTTCTTTACATACAGTATTTATTTATTGTATCAGGGCTTTCCTTGCCTTCCTTTCCCTTCCTCTCCTTCTCTTGTTTCCTTCCCTCCTTTTCCTTTCTTTCCATTCCCTTCCTCCTTTCCTCTCCTTCTTGTCTTGTTTTCTTCCTTTTCTTTTCCTTCCCCCTTTCCTCTTCTTTTCTTGTTTTCTTCCTTTCTTTTCCTTTCCTTTCCTTTTTTTCCCTTTCCTTTCCTTTCCTCTCCTCCCCCCTCTCCTCCTCCTCCCCCCTCTCCTCCTCTCCTCCTCTCCTCCTCTCCTCCTCTCCTCCTCTCCTCCTCTCCTCCTCCTTCTCCTCCTCCTTCTCCTCCTCCTCCTCCTCCTTCTCCTCCTCCTTCTCCTTCTCCTTCTCCTCCTTCTCCTTCTCCTCCTTCTCCTCCTTCTCCTCTCTCCTTTTCTCTCCTCTCCTCTCCTCCTCTCCTCTCTCCTCCTCCTCCTCTCCTCCTCCTCCTTCTCCTCCCCCTCCTCCCTCCTCCTTCTCTTCCTCCTCCTCCTTCCTCCTCCTCCTCCTCCTCCTTCTTCTCCTTCCTCCTCCTCCTCCTCCTTCTTTTTCTCCTTTTCTCCTTCCTTCTTTTCTTTCCTTCCTTCCTCTCTCCTCTTTTTCTTCCTTTCTTTTCTTTTCCTTTTTTCCTTCCCCTTTCCTCTTTTTCTTGTTTTTCTTCCTTTTCTTCTTTCCTCCCTTCCTTTCTTTCCTTTTTTCTTCCTTTCCTTTCTTTTCCTTTCCTCCCTTCTTCTCCTTCTCTTTTTTATTCCTCTCTTCCTTTCCTTTCCTTCTTTTCCTTCCCCTTCCTCTTATTTTCTTGTTTTCTTTCTTCCTTTTCTTTTCCTTTCCTTCTTTTCCTTCCCCCTTTCCTATTGTTTTCTTGTTTTCTTCCTTTCCTTTCCTTTCCTCCCTTCTTCTTCTCTTGTTTTATTGTATTGTATTTGAAAAGGGGGGGACCACAAAGTTTGCAAACTTGGCATTTTATTAAATGTCCTTTGACCAGTATCTGGCCACTTGGAGTGCCTCTGATGTTGCCACAAGAAGGTCCTCCATTGCGCATGTGGCAGGGCTCAAGGTGCATTGCAGCAGATGATCTGTGGTTTGCTCTTCTCCACACTCGCATGTCGTGGACCCCACTTTGTAGCGCCATTTCTGAATTTCTCTGCATCTCGTGGTGCCAGAGCGCAGTCTGTTCAGCGCCTTCTAAGTCGCCAAGTCGCCCAGTCCTCTGTGAACCCAGGGGGGAGTCTCTCATTTGGTATCAGCCATTGATTGAGGTTCTGGGTTTGAACCACTTTTGGTCTCTCGCTTGCTGAGGTGTTCCTGCAATGTCTCTGTAGATCTTAGAAAACTATTTCTTGATTTAAGTCGTTGACGTGCTGGCCGATATCCAAACAGGGGATGGGCCAGAGATGTCACTACCTTGGTTCTTTCAGTATTAGTTGCTACTCCCCAGAGGATGTCAGGTGGTGTGATACCAACTAAACTGTAATTTCTCCAGTGGTGTAGGGCACAGACACCCCGTGATAATGCACCATGTTTTAGATATAGTGCTGCTTTGACATGCTCTTTTGTGCATTCAGACACACTTCTTCAGATTTAAAACAGCTTTAGAAAGAGCTTTTGGGGGTATACATCAACATCTTCAAATGCACAATAGCTTCCACCAGATATAAACCTCCTTCTTCAGATGCAGTACAGCTTTTGTAGATAAAGACATGCTTCTTCAGATAAAGTATCACTTTAGCGTAAGCTTTCATTGATATAGACCTTCTTCTTTGGATGCAGTGCAGCTTTAGCATAAGCTTTTGTAAATACAGACCCGCTTCCTCAGATACAGCACAACGTTAGTATGAACTTTGGTAGACATAGACCATTTCTTAAATGCAATGCACTTTAGCATAAGGTTTGGTAGATGGTGCCTCTGGTGGCACAGCAGGTTAAATCGCTGAGCTGTTGAATTTGCTGACTGAAAGGTTGGTAGTTCGAATCTAGGGAGCGGGGTGAGCTCCTGCTTTAGGCCCAGCTTCTGTCAACCTAGCAATTTGAAAACATGCAAATGTGATTAGATCAATAGGTACCACACCAGCAGGGAGGTAACATCGCTTCATACAGTCATGCTAGCCACATGACCTTGGAGGCGTCTACGGACAATGCCTGCTCTTTGGCTAAAAAATAAATGGAGATGAGCACCACACCCCAGAGTTGGACATGACTGGACTTAATGTTAGGGGAAAACCTTTACCTTTACCTTAGTGCTACTACAAAAACAAAATTATACAAGCATTCCAAACATTTTCTAGAGTTCATGTCAAGGTGAAACCTTTTCCTTTACCTTTACCTTAGTAGACATAAACCAACTTCTTCAGGTGCGGTCTAACAACATACAGATAAGCGGCCTGTTCAGTCCCCAGCATCTTGCTCATAGCCCTGGAGAGCCATTGTTGTTATTTGCTCTCAGCTTTGACTCATGGTGGACGCTATGAATGAAAGACCCCCAAGAAACCACTCTTTTTGTTAGGTTTTCTCTTGCAAACTTGAGGGCAGCTCTTTCTTGATGGAATCAACCCATCTTTTAGACATTTCTGGCAGTTCAAGTTGTCAGAGTGCTGGTCAAGAAGGATTACAAAAGATTTTGATTTTGTATATGAACTTTCTGTGTTCTGGCTAAAAAAATCCGCCTCGTTTCTTTGTATTGTTGCTCACAAGCAACATTATAGAATTGTGAACGGAGGCAAACAAAACACAAAGTTTGCAAGCTTGGTAGTTGATTAAATGTCCTTTGACTAGTAGCTGGCCACTTAGAGTGCCTCTGGTGTTGCTGCAAGAAGGTCCTCCCTTGTGCATGTGGCAAAGCTCAGGTTGCATTGCAGCAGGTGGTCAGTGGTTTGCTCTTCTCCTCACTCGCATGTCGAGGATTCCACTTTGTAGCCCCATTTCTGAAGGTTGGCTCTGCATCTCGTGGTGCCAGAGCGCAGTCTGTTCAGCACCTTCCAAGTCTCCCAGTCTTCTGTGTGCTCAGGGGGGAGTCTCTCATTTGGTAACAGCCACTGATTGAGGTTCTGGGTTTGAGCCTGCCACTTTTGGACTCTCGCTTGCTGAGGTGTTCCAGCAAGTGTCTCTGTAGATCTTGTAAAACTATTGCTTGATATAAGTCATTGGAGTGCTGGCTGATATCTGAACAGGGGATGGTCCAGAGATGTCACTGCCTCGGTCCTTTCAGTATTAGTTGCTACTTTCCGCGGATGTCAGGTGGTGCGATACCAGCTAAAAAGTGTAATTTCTCCAGTGGTGTAGGGTGCAGCTACTCCATGATAATGCGGCATGTTTTAGATATAGTGCAGCTTTGACATTCTCTTTAGTGAATACAGACACACTTCTTCAGATTTAATACAGCTTTAGAAAGAGTATTTAATACAGCTTTTGGGGGTATACATCAACATCTTCAAATGCACGATAGCTTCCACCAGATATAAAACTTCCTTCTTCAGATGCAGTGCAGTTTTTGTAGATAAAGACTTGCTTCTGCTGAGGTTAAATAGCTTGCCATTGTTTGTTGCAATTATCCAGTAGTTAATAAGGGAGGCATGCGCATGAAGTGTGGGCTTTGGGCATTGTGTTTGGCTTTCTCTTGTGGCTTTGGCCGCAATCTCCTCTCTATCTCGGCTTCATTCAAGATAGATAGGGCAGGGCCAAAGGCCAGGTGAGGAGACATCACTCTCCTGCCTGCTGCGACAAATGAGGCAGGGATCTATAGGAGTCCCAAAGGTCGGGAAAGAGAGTGAATGAATCTGCTGCCTCTTTCCTGCTCGGCATCATAAACAGGAAATGCTTGGGGTTTGGGAGGCCTGGGATCCTGGATAATGTCACCCGCCAAACTGAAAGGAGAGCCTTGCTTTTGCTGTGGCTTTGGGACCGCTCTCTGTGCGCTGGGACCAGGCCAGGAATAACACTGTGCTGATTTATGGCCTTCGCGGGGTCAGCTTTGTGCAAAAGGGCCAATGCAGCAGCCAGGGAGCTTTGCTTTCCGTCTGCATTCCTCCGCTTGGAGAGATCTGCACAAAAGGCTTTTGCACCCTCTCTCTTTCGCCCTCTGCCTCTCTAAACAACTGAGGCCATGCATAGTTGTATGCTGAGTTCCTTCTGAATCTTTGTCCCAGAAGACAAGGAGCTGGAGCCCCAAAATGGATCATTCCATGAGTTTATGGCCATGTCGTTTCAGATCCCTGATTGATGTAACTCGGTGCTGTTTGTTTTGCGTTCTTTTACCTCTAAATCCCCCTTCTGCCCCCTTTTTCCCAGTCTTTTCTTCATCTCTCCCTCTTCTTGCTTCTAAAAGAAATAGCAGTACACTCTCATCACAACCCATCTTTGAAAACAAAACATTATTCTAACAGCGGTCTCTTTTGCACTACAAAATTGTCCCGTTACAGGATGCAGCGATGGCAATGAAAGCAGAACCACGGGACAGTTATGGAAGTGGAAGGAAAAGAAAAAGGGGGGAAGGAAGGAAAGAGGTAGAGAAGGAAGGAAGGAGAGAAGGAAAGAAGAAAAGGGAAGGAAGGAAGAAAGGAAAGGGAGTGAAGGAAGGAGGGAAAGAAGGAGAGAAAGAGGGAGGGAAGGTGGTCCACAGTAACGCATGGCGGGTACAACTAGTCTATATAAATAAAAATGTAATGTTGGTTTGTGGGATTAACATAATTCAAAAACCACTAGATGAATTGACCCCAAATTTGGACACAATACACCTCTCAGGCCAACGAGTGACCATCACTCATAAAAACACTGAAAAACACAGCAGAAGACACTTAAAAAGCCAAAAAAATAAAAAAAATACATTACAACGCATGCACAAAACCACATATACACACACTTATACACATAAACACACACACAAAACACATATACGCAGCCTGGGCCGCAGCAACATGTGGCAGGGGATAGCTAGTTAAAAATAAGATCTTTCAATTAGGAGCTCAAGCCGCTTCTGCATTTTGCTTTGACTCAGCACTAAGATTACCATATTACGCAAATCTAATGCTAACCCTAATTTTGAGAAGGTAATTTAACCAAAAAAAGGTAAGCCTTAGATTGGAATAAATACAGCATTATTATATCACCATGCAATCCAATTCAATCTGCATTATGATGGCAGTGTAGATGGGGCCTAAGGCTCTATAATCTTGTTAGGGCCACACAAACTCTTCAAAATTAAAACCAGAAGAGTCTGAAAGCCCACTTTAGATTTTGTTTAGGTGCAGGGGGGGATTTATTTTATGTTAAAGAGTGCAAACTTGCAAGCTCTTTCAAGGGCGAATGCCTCTCTCCCGATGAGCTCCTCTCCACTGCCCTCCCCAGTAATCTGGGATTGCTGACCTACCTGCTCAGTTCACCTGAATGGAAAAAAAACCCCTTGTGACAGGGAAGGAAATGCCTGCCTCTGGGGCTCTTAATAGCCACAGCTACTTAACTGGGATCCGATCATGACCGCTTTGGCTTTGCTAATGGCAGCATGATGCTCTAGAGAAGGCATGCACCAACTTGGGCCCTCCAGGTGTTTTGGACTCCAACTGCCACAATTCCTAACAGCCGATGGGTTTGAGCCTGCCACTTTTGGACTCTTGCTTGCTGAGGTGTTCCAGCGAGTGTCTCTGTAGATCTTAGAAAACTATTTCTAGATTTAAGTCGTTGACGTGCTGGCTGATACCCAAACAGGGGATGAGCTGGAGATGTCTCTGCCTTGGTCCTTTCACTATTGGCTGCTACTTCCCGGCGGACGTCAGGTGGTGCAATACCGGCTAAGCAGTGTAATTTCTCCAGTGGTGTAGGGCGCAGACACCCCGTGATAATGCGGCGTGTCTCATTAAGAGCCACATCTACTGTTTTAGTGTGGTGAGATGTGTTCCACACTGGGCATGCATACTCAGCAGCAGAGTAGCATAGCGCAAGGGCAGATGTCTTCACTGTGTCCAGTTGTGATCCCCAGGTTGTGCCAGTCAGCTTTCATATGATATTGTTTCTAGCGCCCACTTTTTGCTTGATATTCAGGCAGTGCTTCTTGTAGGTAAGAACACGGTCCAGAGTGACTCCCAGGTATTTGGGTGCGCTGCAATGCTCCAGTGGGATTCCTTCCCAGGTGATCCTCAGAGCTCGGGATGCTTGTCTGTTCTTAGGTGAAAGGCACATGTCTGTGTTTTAGATGGGTTGGGGATCAGCTGGTTTACCCTGTAATAGGCAGTAAGAGCACCTAGAGCTTCGGAGAGCTTCTGTTCTACCATCTCAAAGCATATAATATATAATACTGATACTGTGCTATGCTATGCCAATAATATAATATATTGTATATATCTTGTAAGCTGCTCTGAGTCCCTTCAGGGTGAGAAGGGCGGCACATAAATATCATAAATAAATAAATAAATAAATCTAGGCTCTAGTCTATAGGATGTAAGATATGACTAGGAAATCAAAGGGAACCACCTTCAGAAGGAATATGTCAAAGAAACCCTGTGATAGGGATGCCATACTTTGGAATAAACCACACACACGAAGGCACACCGCAACCTCCCCGGGCTCATTCTTCAGCATTCTTTAAAAGCATGGCTAAATAGAAAGGTTTTAGCCTGCAGCCGGAATGACAGCAGCAGGAATAAAAATAAGCATTACTGCTACTTTCTTCTTATTGGTATATTTTGCAGATAAGTCAAATGATGGTTTTGAGTGCTGGATGGGGATTTCAGAATCCAGTTGACCCTCCACATTTGCAGTTTTGTGGATTAGACTATTCATGGATTTGATTAAAACATTCTCTCTAGGAACCTAGACCCTCCAGTGCGACGTGTAGTGCCTTAATTGTTTTTATCTGTCCTAAATCGCTTTATGTGATTTTAATGACTTAATTTTAACTGTTATATGTTTAATTCTATTTTAATGCTTATACATTGCAAGTTTCGAATTGTAATTTGTATTGTTTTTAGTGTTGTGAGTCATTTGAGGCTCATTTAGTAAAGAAATATGTAACAATAATAATAGATAATGATTTTGTGATACAAAATCCAGCATATATATCTCGTTTGCTGTGCTATAGTGTGTTTTTGTGTAAATAATAATAATAATAATAATAATTTTCCACTTCCATCTGAACATGAGGAAGAACTTCCTGACTGTGAGAGCCATTCAGCAGTGGAACTCTCTGCCCCGGAGTGTGGTGGAGGCTCCTTCTTTGGAGGCTTTTAAACAGAGGCTGGATGGCCATCTGTCAAGGGTGATTTGAATGCAATATTCCTGCTTCTTGGCAGAATGGGGTTGGACTGGATGGCCCATGAGGTCTCTTCCAACTCTTTGAGTCTATGATTCTAGGTGCTTCAGCAAACTAGAAATCCCAGAATTTCATAGGACACAGTTAAAGTGGAGTCTGAATGTTACAATTGTGTGGCATGAAGGGATTTTGGTTGGTCTTGCAGAGCAAAACTCTTTATCCTGGTGTGTTTGGAGGGGGTTTTGTTTTTGTTTTTGTTTTTTGGAACGGGATAAAATAATGCTTATTTCTTTGTAATTGTATGAACATTTTATTTAGGGGACCTCTAACCAAATTTGGTGATGCCCACGAAGATGCAGAGGAGTGAGTGACATTTGACTTCCTTCCTTTCTTCTTTCTTTCCTTCCTTCTTCACTTTCTAACAAACACATTTACTTTCTTCTTCTTTTTTTTTACAATGATTGCTTGCCAAGCCCAAGGGATCTTGTGGTTCTTTTTCAGGCATTGCAACTGGTTTGCTTTCCTTCATGCGGGCCCAGAGTTTTGAAATAACACAAACATCTTGCAAAAGTTCCTTTGCATCCTCCAGATTCCCCTAGTCAGCATTGGCCATGCCGTCTGATGCTTTCTGGATATTGTCATTCCCAAATAGTAATATTTTCAAACTCTGGATTAGAATAATTGGAAAATGTATTGTCGAAGGCTTTCATGGCCAGAATCACTGGGTTGTTGTAGGTTTTTTCGGGCTATATGGCCATGTTCTAGAAGCATTCTCTCCCGACGTTTCGCCTGCATCTATGGCAAGCATCCTCAGAGGTAGTGAGGTCTGTTGGAAGTAGGAAAATGGGTTTATATATCTGTGGAATGACCAGGGTGGGGCAAAGGACTCTTGTCTGCTGGAGCTAGGTGTGAATGTTTCAACTGACCACCTTGATTAGCATATAATGGCTTGACAGTGCCTAGAGCAAACTTTTGGAGAGAGGTGATTAGATGAATGTAATATAATATAATGTAATATAATATAATATATTGATGAACCAACCTGGACACAGCATTTTATTTGAGAACACAGAAATGCTGGACCACTCTCACAACTACCATGTCAGGCTACGCAAAGAAGCCATAGAAAACCACGAGAAGCATGTGGACAATGTCAACAGAAAGGAGGAAACCATGAAAATGAACACAATCTGGCTACCAGTATTAAAAAACTCTAAAATTACAACAGCACAACAACAGAGAGGAAACAAACAAGTACATCTAATCACCTCTCAACAAACGTTTGCTCTAGGCACTGTCAAGCCATTATATGCTAATCAAGGTGGTCAGTTGAAACATTCACACCTAGCTCCAGCAGACAAGAGTTCTTTGTCCCACCCTGGTCATTCCACAGATATATAAACCCTTTTTCCTAGTTCCAACAGACCTCACTATCTCTGAGGATGCTTGCCATAGATGCAGGCGAAACGTCAGAGAATGCCTCTAGACCATGGACATAGCCTGAAAAAACCTACAACAACCCAATAATTGGACACTTGTATATGTCTTTCCTTTTTTTTAAAAAAAAAAAAGGTACTTACAAATCCATGCATTTTGCATCCATCGATTCAATCCATGCTTTGAAAATATTCCCTCTGCATAATAATAATAATAATAATAATAATAATAATAATAATAATGAAAAAGGAAGAGGGGGAGACCAAGGGCAAGATGGATGAATTGTATCCTTGAAGTGACTGGCTTGACTCTGAAGGAGCTGGGGGTGGTGACGGCCGACAGGGAGCTCTGGCGTGGGCTGGTCCATGAGGTCGCGAAGTCGGAAGCAACTGAACAAATAAACAACAACAACAAATAATAATAATAATAATAATAATAATAATAATAATAATATTCTATATAAATAAAAATGCAATGCTCGTTTGTGGGATTAACATAACTCAAAAACCACTGGACGAGTTGAAGTCCAAAACACAGGGAGGGCTGAAGTTTGCCCATGCCCGCTATATAGACTCTAGTCTATAGGATATAAGATAAGACTAGGAAAGAAAAGAAACGGGAAATCCCAAATTTGGACACAATGCACTTATCAGGCCAACGAGTGACCATCACTCATAAAAACACTGAAAAACACAGCAGAAAAGACTTCAAAAGCCAAAAAACAAAAAGTGCATTACAACACATGTGCAAAACCACATATACACACACACATATACACACATATATATACACACACAACACATATACACAGACTGGGCCACAGCAACGTGTGGCAGGACACGGCTAGTAATAATAATAAATCTAAGGGCTAGTGATCGAAGGAAAGTAAAAGCCCCTCTTACATGTTGTGCTAATTTTCAGCAATCTTTTGTTGGTGCAGTTCTTTGTTTTAGTGGGCTTCTTTTGGAGCAAAGGTGTTGGGATCATCCAAACTCACAACTTGTTCCAGCCAACTAACCTGTTTCTTTTCACTCTTTGTGAAAAATAACTCTACTTGTGTATGTGCATCACTAACTTGGAATGAAGGGTCTTTCACTGGGTTTCTCTCTTCCTCTTAGATCGACGCTGAAGCGGGCAGGACCTCCTCCTCTACCTCCAAAGGTGAGTGAGACCAGCACCTGAAAGGTGAGCTAGAAAGATGCAAAGCCATGGCTTCTTGGGACACTTTTGGCTCCCCACCTGAAGAGACCAGGTGCATGTCGAAGAAGGATGTATTTAAACAAAGGTTTATTCAACACAAATTTGGATGGACTGCAACTCTTTTCATCAGATGCAGAATAGGTTGCAAACAAACCCACAGAAACGTTTGACAAGTGTCACTGTCATTTTCCAAAAAATAGCACAAAGAACTCTCATACTAAATTTGAGATTTCCTGAGAATGTCCCAACTGAGAATTTTTTTTGAAAGTCCCAAGTTTTGTCCATGTCCAAACCAGTGTTACATCTGCATTGTTTTTCTTCTCAGGAAGGCGGATCTGGCCAAAGTGGTCCATGCCTTAGTCACCTCTAGACTGGATTACTACAATGCACTCTACGTGGGGCTGCCCTTGAAAATGGCCCGGAAATTTCAGATGATCCAACAGGCGCCGGCCAGGTTGTTAACTGGGGCTCCTTACAGGGAGTGGTCAACCCTCCTGTTCAAGGAGCTCCACTGGCTGCCATTCATTTACTGGACCCAATTCAAGGTGCAGGTTCTTACCTACAAAGCCCTGAATGGTTTGAGACCCACCTACCTGCGTGATCGCATACAAACTCACATGATCCCTTCGATCATCCGGGGAGGCCCTGCTCTCGATCCCACCAGCATTGCAGGCGCGGTTGGTGGGAATGAGAGAGAGGGCCTTTTCGGTGGTAGCCCCTCGACTCTGGAACTCTCCCTAAAGACATCAGACAGACCCCAACTCTGGCAGTCTTCAGGAGGAGCTTGAAGACGTGGTTGTTCCAGTGTGCCTCCCGGAATAATGATCCCATAGCACTTTGTCCTCCAAAGCACTTTACATTTTTAGGTCTGCTCGTATGCCCTTCCACAAACGCCACTATCACCTTTCATCCGTGTCCCAGCATTATTTCCATTTGAACTTTACATTTGGCCTTCCCACTGTTTTTAATTGCGTGTTGTCTTATTGATAATGTTGTATATTTTATTGTCTATGTTTTTATTTTAATTGCTTGTACTGTTGTTGTTTTGCTTGTATTGTTGTATTCGGGCTCGGCCTCATGTAAGCCGCACCGAGTCCCTTGGGGAGATGGTAGCGGGGTACAAATAAAGTATTATTATTATTATTATTATTATATTCTTCGTGCCAGCATTATCAAGCACTTTTTTATTTCTACTTTCCAGGTTAGTTTATCTTGGCCCATTATTTTCTGAAATGAAATGCATCTTGCCATGACAGTCTGTCTATATTATTATGCAACAAGCTAAGATGGTTTCCACCAGTCAAACATGGCTGTTGTTTCCAGAGATCAAGCGAGGGAAAAGCCATCATTTGCACCAGAACAATCCCAATGCTTGATACTGCTGCAAGCCACATACATACATATATCTTTTAACTTAACCTTTAAATTTGAATATGTTTTAATGGTTTTCAATTGTGAAATGTTTTAAACTGTTTATATTTAATTCTGTTTTAATGTTTGCACATTTGTTTGTTTTTAATTGTGTGCTAATGTTTTTCTGTTAAGCTGCTTTGAGTCTTATTGTTATATTTATTTATTTTGAAAAATGGAAATCTCCATAACCTTTTATATAATAATAATAATAACAACAACAATAATAATATCTCCTGAGTCATGAATGACACATCATGTCAGAGTAGCGTTAGTAGCCTGCAGAATGTCTCAGCCCCTTTTACTCTCAGTGTGAGAAAAACTCCAAAAACACACATGAGTCTGTTGGTTTAAGTAGAAACAAAAATATAGTTCTGTTCACTGTAGATCAATAACACAAAGCAAAACAGAAGAGTTGTTCTCACCAATGTACATCAAACAATATATCCAGTGAGTCATAGAATCATAGAATCAAAGAGTTGGAAGAAACCTCCTGGGCCATCCAGTCCAACCCCATTCTGCCAAGAAGCAGGAATATTGCATTCAAATCACCCCTGACAGATGGCCATCCAGCCTCTGTTTAAAAGCTTCCAAAGAAGGAGCCTCCACCACACTCTGGGCAGAGAGTTCCACTGCTGAACGGCTCTCACAGTCAGGAAGTTCTTCCTCATGTTCAGATGGAATCTCCTTTTCTTGTAGTTTGAAGCCATTGTTTCGCGTCCTAGTCTCCAGGGAAGCAGAAAACAAGCTTGCTCCCTCCTCCCTGTGGCTTCCTCTCACATATTTATACATGGCTATCATGTCTCCTCTCAGCCTTCTCTTCTTCAGGCTAAACATGCCCAGCTCTTAAGCCGCTCCTCATAGGGCTTGTTCTCCAGACCCTTGATCATTTTATTCGCCCTCCTCTGGACACATTACAGCTTGTCAATATCTCTCTTGAATTGTGGTGCCCAGAATTGGACACAATATTCCAGGTGTGGTCTAACCAAAGAAGAATACAGGGGTAGCATTACTTCCCTAGATCTGGACACTAGGCTCCTATTGATGCAGGCCAAAATCCCATTGGCTTTTTTTGCCACCACATCACATTGTTGGCTCATGTCTTCTTTACATGATGATATACAACACAGAGCAAAATAACACAGTCTATCTACTTAGTTATCAGTAGAATGTCCTTATCTTGCCAAAAACAAGCAGTTTCCTTGGCACTCCAAATGGATTCAGTCTTCAGCTTCAGGACGCTGCATAACCACTCCCAGCAACAGCCAAAGGTTCCTTCAGCTCAAAACGAGCCATCAAGCTAAGCCAAAATGCAAAGCTTGCAAGCCTTAGTGCCTTGTTATATGCAGGAACTGATAACACACCCAATTAAATTGTGGCAGCTGTAACAGAAAAGGTTCTGATCCTCCCTGTTACTTAGGAAAAGCCTGTTGTAAACCCTTTGTAGCAGCACAGCAGGTTCTGTGGAAGTTTCTGATTCCAAAGCCAGAGAGCCCCTGTGTCTCACTCTCTTTTGCTCTCTTTCTCTCTCTCCTGCAGCCCAGGCTCAGTATTTACCAAGAGGAAGGCCTTGTGGATGATGAGAAGATCCAGACGATCAAGTATTGCCCCGACTCTCAGAGCCAGGTCCCGCCAGCGCATAGGAGGCAAAGCATCCCAGTTTGTGGGCCTCAGACAGAGTCCGCCTCCATTGGCATGACAGGCAGCGTCAGCAGCCCAGGCCTGCTCACCGTCCGATACAGCGACATGGGTAAGCGCCACTGTTCCTCCTCACACGGGGTTGGGTGCTGAGCAACCCCCAGAGACTATCATAGGATCGTGGAGTTGAAATGGACCCAAGGGCCACCCAGTTAACCTCCTTCAGCCACAATCAAAGCACTCCTGACAGATAGCCATCCAGCTCTGCTTCAAAAGGATTTGAAGTGGATAGATACCAACTCTTTAGAGCAGGCAAGGGCCAACTTGAACCCTCCGGGTGTTTTGGACTTCACCTCCCACAATTCCTAACAGCCTACCGAATTGCCTAGGAATTGTGGGAGGTGAAGTCCAAAACACCCAGAGGGTTCAAGTTGGCCCTTGCCTGCTCTAAAAGCTTGGTCCCACCAGGAGCCCTACCTTATGTTATACCATTTGTACCAGATTTTTCCTACAGTCCTAGTAATGTGAGTTCTGGTTTGAGGCCTTTTGGCTTGCTGTTTTCCTTGTTTACATCCATCTTGATGTTTCTGCTCCTTTAGGCAACGGCGACAGCACGCCCAAACACCTGGAGGAAAACGCGGATGGCGTGGGACACATGCCCCAGCTGCCACGCAAGAAGGAGAAGCGGGAATTCCCGGTGAGCATTGCCTGCTTTCCGATCCTTTCTGGGATCTAGTCCCATCCATGGCAAACTGCTTCCTTCTGCATCCATTGAACTTGGAAGGAGCAAGAGCAGGAAGAGAGAGAGGGCGGCTATGCCCCACAAACTAGATAGGACTAGATAGCAGGGATATTTTATTATTGCTTGTTTTTGATGTGTTGTTGGGCTTGGCCTCATGTAAGCCGCTCCGAGTCCCTTGGGGAGATGGTGGTGGGATATAAATAAAGTATTATTATTTTTATTATTGACCATTATTCATTCTCTGGCTGGGAAAAAAAGAGATTTCCCTGGCTGCAAAGAACTTTATACACTCAGGGTTCCATATCCACTGGGTGATAGTGAAAAATGGGGGGGGGGGGGGGTGCTATTTTTAAAATCATGGAAACCTAGAACCTAGAGTTCGAAGAGGCTCCAGGGAAATCCAGTCCGACCCCATCCTTCTAGTGCAGATAGACACAATCAAATCTCTCCTGGCAGATGGCCAGTTAGCCTCTGCTTTAAAAGCTCAAGTGAAAGAAACTCCACCAGATTACAGAATAGTCTGTCCTGCGGGAGATGCTAGTGGGGTACAAATAAAGTTTAATAATAATAATAATAATAATAATAATAATAATAATAATCCTCTGCTGAAAAGCTCTTACCTTCACTCTGACCAAAAGGTCATGAGTTCGAAGCCAGCCCGGGTTGGAGTGGGCTTCGAATCAATTGTGTAGCCTGTTGTCGACCTTTGCAACCCGAAAGGCATCTGTCAAGTAGGAAAATTAGGTACCACCTTAAAGTGTGGGGAGGCTAAATTAACTAATTTATGAGGCCATAAAAAAGACTCTAGCAAAGCATGCAGGGAATGTGGCAGTGCTTCATCAGTGTCACAGATGGACAATGAAAGCGACAGCTCCCCTGGCGGCCAGAAAAAGTTAAATAGCCTCTGTGTATGTCAGTATATGTTGTATGTCAAATTGGCATTGAATGTTTGCCATATAAATGTACATTGTAATCCGCCCTGAGTCCCCTGCGGGGTGAGAAGGGCGGAATATAAATACTGTAAATAAATAAATAAATAAATAAATAAGTGGGAGGTGTATTCCAAGGACTAATAGCGAGAGTTCACAATCATCCCATGGATTCAAACTGCCAACCTTCAGGTCAGCAGTTCAGCAGCACAAGGGTTTAACCCATTGTGCAACTGCGCCCCCCAGTCTTCTCTCTAGAAATATCTGGAGCTTCCAGCATCACTTTGTGATCACCTTCCACTGGAAGATAATTGTAGAATCAAACTAGAGGGTCTAGGCCAGTGGTTCTCAACCTTCCTAATGCCGCGACCCCTTAATACAGTTCCTTTTGTTGTGGGGACCCCCAATCATAAAATTATTTGCGTTGTTACTTCATATTTGTAATCTTACTCCAATTAAGAATCATAATGTAAATATCTGATATGCAGGATGTAATTTCATTCACTGGACCAAATTCAGCACAAATATCCAATACGCCCAAATCTGGATACCAATGGGGTGGGGAGGAATTGATTTTGTCATCTGGGAGTTGTAGTTGATGGGATGCATAGTTCACCTACAATCAAAGAGCACTCTGAACTCCATCAATGATGGAATTGAACCAAACTTGGCACACAGAGCTCCCATGACCAACAGGAAATACTGGAAGGTTTGGTGGGCATTGACCCTGAGTTTTGGAGTTGTAGTTCACCTACTTCCAGAGAGCACTGTGGACTCAAATAGTGATGGATCTGGGCCAAACTTGGCACGAATACACAATATGCCCAAATGTGAACACTGGTGGAGTTTGCGGAAAATAGACCTTGACATTTGGGAGTTGTAGTTGCTGAGATGTATAGTTCACCTACAATCAAAGAGCATTCTGAACCCCACCAATGATAGAATTGGGCCAAACTTCCCACACAGGAGCCCCATGACCAATAGAAAATACAGTGTTTTCTGATGGTCTCTGGCGACCCCTCTGACACCCCCTCGTAACCCCTCCAGGGGTCCCAACCCCCAGTTTGAGAAACACTGGTCTAGGCATTGCAAGAGAGAACATTTGAGTCAAATCTTTGAATAATCAGATCTGCAAATGTTTGAAAGAGTGGGAAAAGCAAAAGGCACCTGTTGTTTTGCCTTCCTTCCTGTAAACTCTCAAAGAGGTTGGTTGTAAACAAATGACCACCTCCCTCAAGATTTTTCACATTTTGAGGGGGGGGGGGTTTACTGAATTATTTTTTCAAGGGTTTATTGCATAGACCCCATTATCTTTTTGCATTGAATGGTGCATCTTTTTTTCAGAAAAGGCACCTTTTGACATTAAGAGTTTTTGCATTTTTCTTGCAAATAAGAACATGGTAAACCTAGATTTCCAGGATTCAAAGGAAAGATCCTTCGAATCCTGCAGTATACGAAAACAAAGCCGTTGTGCTGCAATCCCCAGCTGTATTTGAATTCCTACCGCAATCCTATAAGCCTGTGTTTGGCTGGATTCTCATTATATCTTCGTAGTTCTAGGTCTTATCTTGACACTGGAATGTAACGTCGGATGACGTTCAAGGAGGGAGATGTGTAAGTAATCAGGACAGAACAGGACATTTCTGCCATATGTTTTAGCATCCTTAAAAGTCCAAAACATTTGAGGCAAAATTCAGATTCAACGGTCCTTTTCCTTTTAAGGCTTGACTTCCCAGAAATGGCATTGTTTTGAACAGACCTGTGTTTTCTTGTCCGCAGAAGCCAGCCATCAACGGCTTGCCGCCGACGCCAAAAGTGCTGGTAAGGAGACTTTTGAAAATGTGGACGTAAGAACAGAATATCATATTGAATTAGCTGAATTTGGCATGGGCCAACTTTGGCCCTCCCTCCAGGTGTTTTGGACTCCAACTCCCACAATTCCTAACAGCCTACCGGCTGTTAGGAATTGTGGGAGTTGGAGTCCAAAACACTGGAGGGAGGGCCAAAGTTGGCCCATGCCTGCTCTAAGATATCTGGTAGCTGTTGCCCATTGCTTGGCCACTTTGTTTGGGTTCTTGAAACCTGGCAGGCTTTAAAACCTCTCCCTTGCTTCTTCAGATGGGAGCATGCTTCTCCAAAGTGTTTGACGGCTGCCCTTTGAAGATCAACTGTGCCACCTCATGGATCCATCCCGACACAAAAGGTATCGCAAACGCATGAGCTGGGCATCTGTTTCATTTTCCTTTCACCTTTCCAAAAGGCTAAGTTGACTTTTTTAAAAAAACCCATCCTTGTGTTGTAGATCAGTATATTATATTTGGGACCGAAGATGGCATTTACACCCTGAACCTCAACGAGCTGCACGAAGCCACCATGGAGCAGGTAGGAGAGGCCTTCGACAAGGTCCCCCATGATCTTCTGGCAAGGAAACTAGTGCAATGTGGGTGAGGCAAAAATACGGTTAGGTGGATCTGTAATTGGTTAAATGGATGAACCCAGAGGGTGATTCTCCCCAAGGCTTCCTCTTCATCCTGGAAAGAAGTGACAAGTGGAGTGCCATCTGCAGGATTCCATCCTGGGCCCGGTCCTGCTCAGGATCTTTATCAATGACTTAGATGAAGGGCTAGAAGGCAGGATCATCAAGTTTGCAGACGACACCAAATTGGGAGGGAGAGCCAAGACTCCAGAGGACAGGATTCAAAACGATCTTCACAGATTAGAGAGATGAAGGGCCAAAACTAACAAAATGAAGTTCAACGGGGACAAATGCAAGATACTCCACTTAAGCAGAAAAAACAAAATGCAAAGATACAGAATGGGGGACGATGCCTCGCTCGAGAGCAGTACGTGTGAAAAAGATCTTTGAGTCCTCGTGGACAACAAGTTAAACATGAGCCAACAATATGCTGCGGCGGGAAAAAAAGCCAATGGGATTTTGGCCTGAGGAGCATAGTGTCTAGATCTAGGGAAGTCATGCTCCCCATGCTCTATTCTGCCTTCATTAGACCACACCTGGAATATTGTGTCCAATTCTGGGCACCACAATTCAAGAGAGATATTGACAAGCTGGAGTGTGCCCAGAGGAGGGCGACTAAAATGATCAAGGGTCTGGAGAACAAGCCCTATGAGGAGCGACTTAAGGAGCTGGGTTTGTTTAGCCTGAAGAAGAGAAGGCTGAGAGGAGACATGATAGCCATCCATAAATACATGAGAGGAAGCTACAGGGAGGAGGGAGGGAGCTTGTTTTCTGCTGCCCTGGAGACTAGGACGCAATGGAGCAATGGCTTCAAACTACAAGAAAGGAGATTCCATCTGAACATGAAGAAGAACTTCCTGACTGGGAGAGGCGTTCAGCAGTGGAACTCTCTGCCCCGGAGTGTGGTGGAAGCGCCTTCTTTGGAAGCTTTTAAACAGAGCCTGGATGGCCATCTGTCAGGGGTGATTTGAATGCAATATTCCTGCTTCTTGGCAGGGGGTTGGACTGGATGGCCCAGGAGGTCTCTTCCAACTCTAGGATTCTATGATTCCCCAAGGCTTCCTCTTCATCCTGGAAAGAAGTGAGGGCGGGAGTGCCAGGAGCAGGTTCCATCCTGGGCCCGGTCCAGTTGATTAATATTTATTTATTTTATTTATCGTGTCATCAGCAACCAGACATTTGTATTACATTTTTAACAAAAACAAACAAACAGACAGACAAAACACAGAATTTTCAAGCTTGGTAGTTGATTAAATGTCCTTTGACCAGTACCTGGCCACTTGGAGTGCCTCTGGTGTTGCTGCAAGGAGGTCCTCCATGGTGCATGTGGCAGGGCTCAGGCTGTAGGCTAAGACAACCAGATGGGTTGAGTGGTCATTCTCCAAAAGCACAACAGAAGAGCCAGATTTTTAGGTCTTTCTTAAAACCAGCTAGGGTGGGGGCTTGCCTGATCTGGCCATATAGCTTGAAAAAACTTACAACAACCCAGTGATTCCAGCCGTGAAAGCCTTGGACAACTTCCCAACTGTGAGAGTGAGCTGTTCAGCAGTGGAACTCTCTGTCTGTCCTGGAGGAAGTGTGGTGGAGGCTCCTTCTTTGGAGGCTTTTAAGAAGAGGCTGGATGGCCGTCTGTCGGGGGTGCTTTGAAGGCAATTTTTGTGCTTCTTGGTAGAATGGGGTTGGACTAGATGGCCCACGAGGTTTCTTCCAACTCTTATGATTCTATGAGAGAGATACTTGTGTATCTTTGGCTCGGTGCTGAAAAGTGGGGCAGCCCCATTGTAGGAAGCACTCTGGAGGTTCTGACAGCTCTTTCTGCTGCTTCCTTCTCTTCCAGCTCTTTCCGCGCAGGTGCACCTGGCTCTACGTCATCAACAACACCCTCATGTCGCTCTCAGGTGAGTCAAGTGCTGGAGAAATGTGCCAGGAAACTTGCAAAGGTGATGGGAAACCACAACACATTTCCCTTTGACATCTTTTTTTCTGTGGTGTGCTGAATTTATCTTGTTAATATCTGGAAAATCATTTTAATATTTTTTTTCTCTCCCTCTCTTCTCTTTTCTTCTCTGCAATTTGCTTGGATCTTGGACATTTGGGGGCTGTCCTTTTAGAAGGTAACCCTTTCCCCTGCTTTGTATATCAGTTCTGATTTATCGTTTCTCTTTAGTTTCTTTGAATGACTGCGGTGATTCCCCTGCGCTTAAGGCCTTTGTCTTGTGTTGCAGGGAAGACTTTCCAGCTTTACTCCCACAACCTCATCGCTTTGTTTGAACAAGCCAAAAAGACCGGGCTGGCCGCCCACATCCAGACCCATCGCTTCCCAGATAGGATATTACCAAGGTGAGCAATGGACACATTACCCCTTGGGCTTCATGAGGGGGAAAGCGGGGCTATTTCAAAAAGAAGGCCTACCCTTCTTGGGGTTGCTGTGAGTTTTTGGGGCTGTGTGGCCCTGTTCCAGCAGCATTGTCTCCTAACGTTTCGCTTGCATCTCCCTGCAATTCTTTTAAACCCTCCTACTAGATACATCCTACCTCTGTTTATGCCCAGCGTTTATTTTTTTAAATTTTAACTATTCCATCTGGCCCGGCCATAGATTTTTAAATCGCTGCATGTTATTGTCTATACGTAAGTTATATTAATTGTATTTTTTATTTGCTTATTGCTTTGTTGTTTTTACTGATGTGTTGTTGGGCTTGGCCTCATGTAAGCCACTCCAAGTCCTCTTGGGGAGATGGTGGCAGGGTATAAATAAAGTATTATTATTATTATTATTATTATTATTATTATTATTATTGCATCTGTGGCTAATGGCATTTTCAGGGTTTCTGTTGGCAGTAAGACAAGTGGATCTATACCTGTGGAATAATGAACAGGATGGGAGAAAGAATCCTTTCTTTAGATTGTTTGTAAGTTGTGTTTCTTCATCAGCTTCCCTCTGTGGTTCTCTTGATGTCTGGCAAGAACCCTTTCCCTCTGGGTGGGTCTTTGTCTTTATTCTCGTGGCTTCTTCTTGGTCTTGCAGCTCTTCTGATGTCTGAGGTGGAGTCTCCATTGGCCTGGAGAGCCCAGTTGAGGTGGTTCAGTTCACCTTGGAGGAGGTGGGCTTCACAGATTCTTTTTGCACGGTCTGCCAAGGCTTTAATGGGGCTTCTTTTTTTGACTTGGGTGATGGTTGGATTCCTTTAGGTCGGCATCTATCCATGTGTGTAGGTTTTCTGCAAACCGTGTGGCCCAATTGTTGATTTGGTGTGCAGATGACTAGGACATCTAGAAAAGGTAGTTTTCCTTCATTTTCTTTTTCCATGGTGAATTGGATGTTTGGGTGGACATTGTTGAGGTGGTCAAGGAACTTGTTTAGTTCTTCTTCTCCATGGCTCCAAATGGTGAAGGTGTCATCCACATATAGTAGGTTTTTTTGTTTCTATTTTCAGGACTGGTTTCTCAAAGTAGAAATTGATTATGACCGTGCTAAGGGACCACGGTGGTGCAGTGGGTTAAACCATTTTCGGCTGCCCTGGAAACTAGGGCGCGGACCAATGGTTTCAAACTACAAGAAAGGCAATTCCACCTGAACATTAGGAAGACCTTCCTGGCTGTGAGAGCCGTTCAGCAGTGAAACTCTCTGCCCCGGAGTGTGGTGGAGGCTCCTTCTTTGGAAGCTTTTAAACAGAGGCTGGATGGCCATCTGCCAGGGGTGCTTTGAATGCAATTTTCCTGCTTCTTGGCACAATGAGGTTGGACTGGATGGCCCATGAGGTCTCTTCCAACCCTATGATTCTTTGTGAGAGCTGTTTAGCAGTGGAACTCTCTGTCCTGGAGTGTGGTGGAGGCTCCTTCTTTGGAAGCTTTTAAACAAAGGCTGGATGGCCACCTGTCAGGGGTGCTTTGAATGCAATTTTCCTGCTTCTTGTCAGAATGGGGTTGGACTGGATGGCCCATGAGGTCTCTTCCAACTCTAGGATTCTATGATTGAGCTGATGAACTTGCCGACTGGAAGGTTGGCAGTTTGAATCCCCAGGACGGGGTGAACTCCCACTGTTAGCCCCAGCTCCTGCCAACCTAGCAGTTCGAAAACATGCAAATGTGAGTCTTGGCAGGAAGGTAAACAGAGCTCCATGCAGTTATGCCGGCCACATAACCAGGAGGTTTCTACAGACAACACAGGCTTTTTGGCTTAGAAATGGAGGTGAGCACCAGCCCCAGAGGTGGAGATGAAGAGGAAGCCTTTAACTTTATCTGTGTGTATCTGCATTTCATTGTTTTGAGACATTGAATGTTTGCCTTGTGTGTATGTATATGCTGGCATCTACCCTGAGTCCCCTTGGGGAGATAGGGCAGAATACAAATAAAGTGTTATGTTGTTGTTGTTGTTGTTGTTGTTGGGCTCCCCATGTCTACTCCATCTTTCTGTTCATGGAATTAATTGTTCCACTGGAAGTAGCTTGTCATGAGGCAATGTTGAAACAGGGCTGTGATGTCTTCTGGGAAATTCCAGTTAATGAGTGTGATGGTGTCTGCTGTTGGTACCTTGGTGAATAGAGACACCAATTCCCTAAGAATATTTAGGTTCTCCAATACATTCCTGTGGTCAACTTCTGCCGACAGACACTCCTTGGCCACCAAAACCAAATACAATCACACAATCTAACACTAAGATTTTTGTTCCTGGGTATCATTTCCTAATAGAGTCTATCATAAAAACATGGAAAAAGTTTATCAAACTGCAAAAACTTTGTTTTTTTGTGGGAGTGACATTATCCTGCAGCATATTTTGCTCTAGCTTTTCAATGCATATCTGTTAAGTCTCAACCATCTTATCAGCCATCTTATCTTCCTTCTTTATTTTAGTCTTTTTTTAGTCTTTTTCTCTCTCTTCTTTTCTTTTCCCTATTCCATTTTCCTACTGTCCTTATACAATATGTTCTCACACTTTCACTGTAATCTTTTTTCTTCTTCTTTTCACACTCCAGTTTAATGGAGTTTAATTTTATTTGCAAGGAAAAAATCAATTAAAATATTTATAAAAACAAAAAAGTCTCAACCAATTTAACATAGTTTGTGGCAGCCATAAAAAATGAGATTTCTGGAGTGTAACAACTACTTGCAAAGTAAGGACCGCACAATTAAACAGGAAATTACACTTTCAAACCAGGAACAGAATGTTTTTCAAATTTTGTTACATGGTGTTACTTGTCTTCAGGATAAGAGAGTGGAGATTTTGGGTCAGGTCCCAGTACTGTCTCTACTCTTTACTATTTTATCGAGACTGGACATTGCTCTCCTACTTCTTGGGAGGAGAGCAGTGTCCAGTCTCGATAAGATAGTAAAGAGTAGAGACATCAGACTGGCAACAAAGATCCATTGCCTAGTCAAAGCCATGGTATTCCCTGTAGTCACCTACGGATGTGAGAGCTGGACCTTAGGGAAGGCTGAGCGAAGGAAGATCGATGCTTTTGAGCTGTGGTGTTGGAGGAAAGTGCTGAGAGTGCCTTGGACTGCGAGAAGATCCAACCAGTCCATCCTCCAGGAAAGAAAACCCGGCTGCTCATTGGAGGGAAGGAGACTAGAGACAAAGTTGAAGTCCTTTGGCCACATCATGAGGAGACAGCAAAGCCTGGAGAAGGGAATTATGCTGGGGAAAGTGGAAGGCAAAAGGAAGAGGGGCCGACCAAGGGCAAGATGGATGGATGGCATCCTTGAAGGGACTGGACTGACCTTGAAGGAAGTTTGGGGGTGGTGATGGCCGACAGGGAGCTCTGGCGTGGGCTGGTCCATGAGGTCACGAAGAGTCGGAGACGACTGAACGAATGAACAACAACAACCCAGTACTGTCATTAATAACTGATTTTGTCATTTTCAGGAAATTTGCCTTAACGACAAAGATCCCAGATACAAAAGGGTGCCATAAATGTTGTATAGGTAAGTCTACATGGAATTGCAGCATTGCAAGTGATCAAAGGTAATCTAACCCGGTATTCGTGCCACATGTATACAGGTACACTGTTCCTGTATTGCAGGGGTTCCGTTCCAGGATAAATGAAAACTCCGCGAAGTAGGGACGCCATATTAATTTTAATATTGATACATTATTTTATATATTTTATATATTATTTTCTTACCCACACTTCCTTACCCGCCTCTCAGCCTATCCCAAGGGCACCTACCTGCCTCCCTGGCCTCCGCAGAGCCTCTGGAGCTACGCAGGCAGCAGCAGGCCAGGTAGGCAGACCTTCCCCGCCACGCCTCAGGCCACTGCAATTCCGGGGTCCGTGACTTCCACTGGACGTAAATATTTAATATTTTTATTAATATTTTCAAAAACCCGCGAAACAGCGAGTCTGCTAAAAGTGAACCGTAAAGTAGTGAGGGAACACTATATTAGAAGAAGACTTTATTAGAAGGGGACTTGGGGTGGCGTACATGGGGCCAAGCCCAGGCAACATACAGTTAAAAGCAAAACAACAGCAAGTTACAAATTAAAATGACACAACACAGCAAAACAATAATAAACAAGCATTAAGCAACAGCAACCCAATTTTGGAGGGGTGGGGGAGGAGGCCAACATACAAATTGATTAAAAGGTAAATAGATCAATAAGGTGGATTGGAACATAAATAGCACAGGAGATATCATGGAAACAGAGCAATTAAACAGGATCAGGGGCATCTCAGTTTAACTTACATATATGAATAATGATGTAATATAGGAATTCAGGTTAAATAGTGAAAATAGATCATGGTACAATCGTTTGTCATAAGGGTCATCAGTCGAAGGCAGAATGAAACATCCACGTCTTTAATTCCTTACGGAATGGGGCTAGGGAGGGTACCTGCCTAATCTCCCTAGGGAGGGAGTTTCAGAGACGGGGGGCCACCACCGAGAATGCTCTCTCCCTCATCCCCACCGGTTGCGAGTCGGAGGTGGGAGTGAGAGAAGGGCATCCTTGGAAGATCTTAAGGACCGCGTGGGCTCATAAGGGAGGAGGCGGTCACGCAGATGGGCAGGTCCTGGAACCAAATGCATTCCTGGGCATAACTTTTGGTTCTCCCTTTAAATCTGATCTTATCAAAACAAATATTGTGTGGAACTAAACTCTGTAAAAGAGTTGGAAGAGACCTCATGGGCCAAATATTGTGTGGTGGAGGCTCCTTCTTTGGAAGCTTTTAAACAGAGGCTGGATGGCCATCTGTCAGGGGTGATTTGAATGCAATATTCCTGCTTCTTGGCAGAATGGGGTTGGACTGGATGGCCCATGAGGTCTCTTCCAACTCTTTGATTCTATGATTCTATAATAGGATTTAATTTTACAACCATTCTGTGTATCTAGCAATCGTAATAGCTCAGGCTTGTTTTTTTTTCTTCTGCAGTAAGGAACCCGTACACGGGCCATAAATACCTCTGTGGAGCTTTGCAGCTGGGCATCGTTCTGCTTCAGTGGTATGAACCCATGCAGAAATTCATGTTAATAAAGGTAGGCCATGCCTCTCTCTGCAGCCTCTGAACTCGGACATAGGCACCTCGGTCTGGATCAGCATGCCAAGATCCCACCTTGTTCCCAGGATAGGGCCCTTTAAGGCTGAGAGAAACACATTGGTAGCTTTAGCTTTCATATGCAGCCAAATTCTTTCTCTAAGTCTCAAAGCATAGCTGCTGTAGGTTTTGAAATGAAATGATATTGGTGCCCAGTTGGTTTCCAAACTCCTCTTTTTCAGTGAGTTTCATTGCTTCATATTGGGATATGGATTATACAATTTGGGAACTTACATTGTTTTTGGTCCTGGGTCATTGGAGCATTTATCTGGAAAGTAAAAGGTTCTGTTTTCTTTCTGGAAAGCCTCTGGGAGTAGTAAGCTACTTATTAAATATTTGCATAATGTAAACATTTGTATAGTATTATTCAAAAAATAATACTCCTTGTTTCACAATTTTCAGGGGGAAAAACTCTGGCCACTTCTGTCTTTGTTTTGTTTTGAATCTTTCACAAGTTTTGCCAGATTATCCAAATTGTGGAAGGTCCCAAGGAAGGGAAACTGGGATTTTATACATACAGAAGTTTGTTTTTTCACCTTTAATTATGAGGGTTGAATGAAAAGTAATGCCTCCAACTCCTCAACAGATGGCAGTACTGTTATACGGCAGGTACTGGCTTGTTCAATAGACTCTCCTCTACAGTTCCATTTTGGCAGGAAGCCTTAGCATTAAACGGTTGTGTTGTTAAAGTGCAAAGTATGGAACCCTGAGCAGACCGTCGGTCAATGCGACTAAAGCAACGTACAGTCATTGAATTCTTGACAGCAGAAAGTGTCACCCCAAAGGAGATTCATCAGAGAATGCAAGCTGTTTAGGGTGATCGTGTTGATGTGAGTACTGTGCGTCTTTGGGCAAGTAAGTTTAAAGATGTTGAGGTGGGAACATTTGATTTGTGTGACAAACAAGGAGCTGGACGTCCTGTGACAGCAACCACTGAGTTTCACATGCAAAAGCTTGACAGATTGATTCAGGATGATTGTCATATCACTCAGAGAGAAATTTCAAATATAATTGGCATTTCACAAGAACGTGTGGGTCACACTATTGCTTTGCTTGGCTATCAGAAGATCTGTGCACGATGGGTACCCAGGATGCTGACACCTGAAATGAATGCGCACAGACTTGAAACTTCAGAGACTGGATCTCACCACCGTACGACATCCTCCATACAGTCCAGATTTAGCACCATCTGACTTCCATCTGTTCCCGATAATGAAAGAAGATCTGTGGGGACATCATTATGCTTCTGACGAAGACGTTGAGTGAACTGTGAGGTGCTGATTGTGGAAACAGAGTGTCGACTTCTTCCGTGACAGCTTCAGAAAACTTGTTCATTGTTGGCAGAATTGTCTGGTGATTATGTGGAAAAGTGAATAGTAGTAGTTAAAGAGCACGTTCTAAGGATGATTTCTGCGTTTGATTTATTAAAATTTGCCCATCCAAACCCAAGTAATGAAGGTGGAGGCATTACTTTTCATTCAACCCTCGTATTTAACCACTTTCCCTTAACTCAGTGCTGTGGAATTCTGGGAGTTGTAGTTTTAAAGGGCCTTTAAGTCTTCTCTGCCCCAGTCGTGCAGGTACCTCACCAAACTGCAACTCCCATGATTCCATAGCATTGAGCCATTGTATCGGTTCTACCACCCAAATTGCACCCGTAGAGGTCCATCCCATAAATTGAGATAGGACGGGATACAAATGTCTGAAATCTATGTATATAATAAAAGTCAGTGTTTGTATGTGGAGGGAGGACAGGAGGGAGAACGGGAGGTATATGTGGCAGCTTTCTGATTGGCTGCCACTGTGGTACAATTTGCATATGATCTCTGATTGGCCAGCCTCAAAATTCCAAGAATCTGAGGTGACAGAGAGGAAAAGGCCTGAGGCTGTGTCGGAAAATTACCAATAAGGACCAAACTTGGCATACAGAGCCTGCAAGACCCACTCTACATCCTACTGCAGTTTGGAGGAGGGTGGACCATGGATGATGGGACATGCAGTACCATTACTCACTTTCTGAGACCACTGTGATCCTCATCCAATGACCATTCAAGACCAAACTTGGCACACAGAGCCCCCATGACCCACTCTCCATTCTGGTGCAGTTTGGAGGAGGATGGACCACAGATGATGGAACTCGCAGTACCTTCACTAACTTCGTGAGACCACTGTGAGCCATATACATAACTGATAAAGACAAACCTTGATACACAATTCCTTTCTCAAATAACCCGGGCAGCGCCGGGTCCCCAAGCTAGTAAATAAATAAATAAAGAGGCACACATTCAGCCGGGCAGACTGTTTCTGACTCCGTAATTCTCCCGCTTTCCCTCCAGCACTTTGACTTCCCTTTGCCAACCCCGCTGCACGTCTTTGAAATGCTGGTGATCCCGGAGCAGGAGTACCCCATGGTCTGCGTGGCCATCAGCAAAGGCATCGAGCCAAATCAGGTGGTCCAGTTTGAGACCATCAACTTGAACTCTGCTTCTTCCTGGTTTACAGAAATTGGTGCAGGTGAGGCTCCGACGGAGTTAGCATCGTTGAGTTCAGGCCCTCTTAAGCCACTTCTGCTAGGGAAAACTATCCGAAAATATACAGCAGAGCATCCAAAAACAAACAGGATACAAACATTGAGCATCATAAGCGAGCAGAGCATGAAGTGCCGTGTGATGTGGTGGTACTTAGGCAGGCAGGGTGCAGAATCCAATCTTTAAAAAATCACAAAAGGTTTATTTACAATAATAAATCACTAACTACCTTTCTTAATAGGTAAAGAACTGGGCCTGAGCTCCTCTAACACCCATCTCTTCAAAGAAAGGGGGGAAACGCCAATCACGACATCTCTCCTGACACACAATCAGAGAGAGATCTCAAAGCACACAGCAGAAACCGAGAGGAGAGAAGAAAAAGATGCGTTCCCAATTGTCATTCAGGAGACATGGGGAGAGGGAATTCCCTTAGCCTATACTAAACTATCTGTTCCTCATTGAGGACTTGAGACTTGGGCACTGTGGAGTTGAATTCCAACAGCTTCCAGACAGTGTCAAAATTCAGCGTCAGTGGGTTTAAGACCTGTCAGTCATAGAATCATAGAATCAAAGAGTTGGACGAGACCTCATGGGCCATCCGGTCCAACCCCGTTCTGCCAAGAAGCAGGAATATTGCATTCAAATCACCCCTGACAGATGGCCATCCAGCCTCTGTTTAAAAGCTTCCAAAGAAGGAGCCTCCACCACGCTCCGGGGCAGAGAGTTCCACTGCTGAACGGTTCTCACAGGAAGTTCTTCCTCGTGTTCAGATGGAATCTCCTGTCTTGTAATTTGAAGCCACTGTTCTGCGTCCTAGTCTCCAGGGAAGCAGAAAACAAGCTTGCTCCCTCCTCCCTGTGGTTTCCTCTCTTGGAAAATGGTCCCCTGCCATCTCGACACCTCCCTTTGAAGCAGATTTTACAAGTCTGCAGAACATCCGGCGGACGTTTTGTTTTGCTTTCATTCTCTCCAAGATGCGCTGGCTCGTGTATGCGCCCATGCACATACAATCCAGCCTTCAGGCTGAGAAAAGCGCCTTCAGGCTGAGAAAGGCAGTATACAAATGCAGTAAATAAATAAATGTGAATATTTCAGTGTACACACAAGCAAATTTCTTATTCTCTCCTCACCCCACTATAAACCCAAGTTCTGAATATTGATCAGAGCAAAGAAATGGTTATAGAGCGTTCTCATAGGAATTGCTTTCCATTTGTGCTTCCATTTAGCCACCTGCATGTCCGTGGCTCTATTTGTTTACTGCCCTGATCTGCTGTTGTAGACTTTTAAGATGTGCACATGCGCTGAAGCAGTCCACATCAGTACATACGAAGAAAGGCACGTTTTTTCCTTGACTACAAGAGCATACAGTCATGTGAATATGTGCACTGAATTTTAAGCAAAACATTTAAATATGTGCTTTTCAGGTGTTGACCTAAGAGCCCCCGGTGGCACAGTGGGTTAAACCTTTGTGCCAGCAGCACTGCTGACGGAAAGGTCAGTGGTTCAAATCCAGGGAGCGCGGTGAGCTCCCATCTGTCAGCTCCAGCTCCCCATGTGGAGACATGAGAGAAGCCTCCCACAGGATGGCAAAACATTTGGGCATCCCCTGGGCAATGTCCTTGCAGACGGCCAATTCTCTCACACCAGAAATGACATGCAGTTTCTCAAGTTACTCTTGACATGATAAAAAAGCTGTTAACCTGATTCGACACAGACCTTCCATAAATGTCATTTAGCCGCAACCACCCCCTTTTTATTCCGGTTTCTTCCAGGTTTTAAGGCATGTGTAGAAGGGCCCTTAAACTGTGGGCCCCAATCCCAAATAAGGGCCCCTTAGCTCAATGTTGGGGTCACAGAAAATTTGGCCACAGGAGAAATGTTTTCCGAATACCATCTATTTACACAAATTTGTGAGCAACGATGTGTAGTGCCTATTTTTTCGCCTGTTTCGCAAGCCTTGCAACGACTGATTGGTTATCAGTAAATACTTAATTGTTAGACCTATTTCAGTGGTTTCTCTGTGACTTCACACTGATGTGGAATGAGGGGTTGTGGAATAGTGATGAGAATGTGGAGGGATGGGTGCTCTGTTTTGCAATTCTCCATATATTATGTGTATTGGGGGTGGCATTTAATGATGTCCAGTGACAATAAAGTTATACTATTCTATTTTGTATACTTGGGGTCACATAAAGATGTCTCGGTCAGCAAGGGATTGCAAGTAGAAAGGGTTTAAGAAGCCCTGATTTAGTTTATCCCCTCCCCCAAAGTTGGACGTGTGGCCCAGATGGTGTTTAGTGACAGCTCCCATCATCCCCAACCAGCATGAATTATCTGGGAGTCTTAGTAATCCACAACCTGAGCTTCAGCCAATGATGTGATGTGGTAGCTAATAAAAGCCAATGCGATTCTATGCGGCATTGGAAGGATTGGCATGGTGTCCCTCTCTTCTGCTTTGGTCAGATCTCTTCACCTGGAATAATAGGATATTGACAAGCTGAAGAGAGTTCAACCAAAATGGTCAAAGGTCCAGAAGCCCCATTAGGAAGCTTGGATATGTTGGATAGCGAGCAGAAAAGATAGGTGAAAGGGAACATGATAGAGCAGGTATGCGCAAACCCAGGCCCAGGGGCCGGATGCAGCCTCTTGGGCTCTTTTCTCAGGCCCTCCTCTCTCACACCATCCTATTCTTCCTTCTCTCTTTCCTTTCTCCTTCCCTCCCTTCCTTACCTCCCTCTTTCTTCCTCCCTCCTTCCTTCCCTTCCACCCTTTCCTCCTTCCTTCCCTCTTCCCTCTCTCCCTCTTTCTACTTCCTTCCTTTTTTGTCTTTCCTTCCTTCTCTTTCCTCCTTCTCTTCCCTCCCTCCATTCCCTTCCACCTTTTTGTTCTTCCTTTTCTCTTTCCTTCCTCCTTCTCTTTCCTTCCTTCCATCCTTCTCGTCCCTTCTTCCTCCCTTCTCTTTTTCTTTCCCTTCCTTCCCTCCTTTCCTACCACTCTATCATCCTTCCTTCCCTTCCCTTTTGCTTTTCCTTCCTTCCCTTCCTCTATTCCCTTCTACCTTTTTGTTCTTCCTTCCTCCTTCCCTTCCTTACTTCCTTCCCTCTCATCCTCCCTTTCTTCCTCCCTTCTCTTTTTCTTTCCCTTCCTTTCATTCTTCCCTACCACTCTTTCATCCTTCCTTTCCTTCCTTCTCTTCCTTTTCTTCCCTCCTTCCATTCCCTTCCACCTTTTTGTTCTTTCTTCTCTCTTTCCTTCCTTTCTTCTTCCCTTCCTTCCTTCCTTCCATACTTCTCGTCCTCCCTTTCTTCCTTCCTTCACTTTTTCTTTCCCTTCCTTCCATCCTTCCCTTCCATTCTTTCATCCTTCCTTCCCTTCCACTCTTTTGTCCTTCCTTCCCTCTCTCCTCTCTCCTTTTCTCTCTTCCCAATTGTCTTTCCTTCCTTCGCTCTCTTTCCTCCCTCTCTCTCTCCCTCTTTCCCTCTTTCTCCATCCTTCCCTTCTTCCCTTTTGTCTTTCCTCCCTTTTGTCTTTCCTTCCTCCTTCCTTCCTTCCTTCCTTCCTTCCTTCCTTCCTTCCTTCCTTCCATCCATCCATCCATCCATCCATCCTTCCCTTCCACCCTTTTTTCCTTCCTTCTTTCTCTCTTTCCTTCCTCCTTCCTTCCTTCCATTACCTGGCAGCCAGTCCTCTTAGCAGGGAGTTCTAGCATGCGGCCCCCAAGTTAGAAAGTTTGCCCAGGCCTGTGATGAAGCCATGTTTCAATATCTGAAATGATGTCTTATTGAGGAGGCAGGCAGCTTGCTTTCTTCTGCTCCAAAGACTGGATCCCAATGGAGCGATAGATTCAAACTGCAGAAAAAGTGATTTCATCCTTGAATCCGACTCCAGATTTTCCTGCAGTTGGATTCAAACTGCAGGGAAAAAGATTCCACTGATGGACTGTCAGTCAAAAAGTTGGGAACAATTTTTGACTGACAGTCAGAGCTGAGTGACAGTGCAACCTGCTGCTGCAGTTGTGGTGGAGTCTCCTTTTCTGGAAATTTTGTAACAGAGGCTGTATGACCATTTGTCAGAAGGGCTTTGGTTATGTCTTCCTGCCTGGCAGAAGGGGGCTGGGTTGGATGACCTTTAAGAGTCTTTTCCTTCTCTAGGAGACTAAAAATCTAATTTGTGCCACAACAGCCTTCTGGCTATTAACATACAGGGATGAATCCAATACTTCCGGGTTTTCAAGTCCTGACTTGGAGATGTCAAATCGAAACCCCAGTTCCTTTGTCACCTAAGCCCAGGGCACGTCTGGTTCATGGGCTCTTAGAATGACAACAAAGGCCGAGCCTTATCAGCGCTCGCAAGAGGCCGTCTGGCTCCTTTGACTCTTCCTCCCCGGTCTGTAAGATAAGATGCTCCGGTTGCTTCTGTCGTCGTTCCCTTGGAGACACCTGCATTCACCTCACTCAGGTGCACTGGCTTCCATCCAGGGAAGGGAGCTCTCTTTCTTCCTTCCATTCTCTCTCTCTCCGGGCACATCGAGCACTTCGTCTTCCCTTTCTGCAATCCGAGATATGGCCAGACCTTTGACCATTTTGGTGGCCCTTCTCTGGACACCTTCCATGTTCTTCTTGAATTGCATTGCCCAGAACTGGACACAGGGTTATTATCCCAGGTGAGATCTGACCAAAGCAGAATGGAGTGGGACTCTGACGTCTCTTGATCTGGAGCCTGGAATCGCATTGGTTTTTTTAGCTGCCGCATCACACTCCTGACTCATGTTCACCTTCTGGTCCACTAGGACTCCTAAAGTCCTTTCGTATGTAATCTTTTCCATCCAGATCAAAGCACTTTGCCATTTGGGGAGCCATGTGAGCTCATGATGGGCTTCGAGCAGTTTGACAGGACACAAAACACTGTGCTTTCTTCCCCTCTCCTCCCAGGTTGCCAACAGCTTGATGCCATCCATGTTACACAGCTAGAGAGAGACACGGTTCTGGTTTGTTTGGACAGTAAGTAGCACAATTCAAACGCTCTGATTCTCCCTTCTAAGGGCCTAAATACCCTAAAGCAGGCCTGGACAAACTTTGGTCCTCTGGGTGTTTTGGACTTCAACTCCCACAATTCCTAACAGCCTGTTAGGAATTTATTTATTTACTAGCTGTGCCCTGCCACGCGTTGCTGTGGCCTATAGTAAGAATTTTTGAAGTAGAGGTAGATATCTGGACTATTATGAAAGAGAGGTACCTACCTATTCCTTCCCTCTTTTTCTTCTCCTTCCCCTTCCTCTCCTTTCTTCCTTCTCTATCTCTTTCTTTCATTCCTTCTTTCACTCTTTGGTTTCATCCTTCCTTCTCTCTTTCCTTCCCCCCTGCCCCTTTCGCTACTTCTTCCTTTGTCTCCTTTCTTCCCTCCCTGTTTCCTTCCTTCTTTCACTTTTTTATTTCCTTTTCTCCTTCCTTCTTTCTTTACTTCTTTCCTGCATTTCCCTCCATTTTTCTTTCCTTTCTACTTTCTCTTCTTCCTTCCTTCGGTACCTCTTGCTTTCCTTCCTTCTCTCCTTCCTTCCCCCTTCCCTCCCTTCCCGCCAGCTGCAGGCATACCTTGGGAGGTCAGACTTGGCCACGGTAGTCCACGCTCTGGTTACATCCCAAATAGACTACTGCAATGTGCTCTACGTGGGGTTGCCTTTGAAGACGGTCCGGAAGCTTCAATTAGTCCAACGAATGGCAGCCTGGTTGCTAACAGGAGCAGCTTTCAAGGAGCATACAACTTCCCTGTTGCACCAGCTCCACTGGCTACCAGTTTGCTACTGGGCACAATTCAAAGTGCTGGCTTTGGCCTATAAAGCCCTAAACCAGTGGTTCTCAATCTGGGGTACACAGATGTTTTTGGCCTACAACTCCCAGAAATCCTAACAGCTGATGAACTGGCTGAGGTTTCTGGCAGTTGTAGGCCAAAAACATCTGGGGACCTCAGGTTGAGAACCACTGCCCTAAACGGTTCTGGCCCAACATACCAGTCCGAATGCATCTCCCCTTATGAACCATCGAGAACCTTAAGATCATCTGGGGAGGCCCTGCTCTCTGTCCTGCCTTCGTCACAAGTACATCTGACGGGGACGAGAGACAGGGCCTTCTCAGCGGTGGCCCCCGGTTATGGAATGCCCTCCCTAAAGAGATCAGATCGGCTTCTTTGCTCCTAACATTTCAGAAAAAAACCATGTCTGTTCAAGCAAGCATTTGCAAATATTGAGTAACGGACATAGGAAAACGGAACAACTATACGATGGGACTGGACATACGTTTTATTGCTGTTATGATTTTATTGATGTTAACATTTTTAAATTGCACTTGTGCTTTCGTGGCATTGAATTTTGCTTTGTAAAGCACCTCGAGTCGCCGGAAGACTGAGAAGGGCGGTATACAAATACAACAAATTAAATGAATAAATAATAAATATTCAACATTTTCATTTATCCGACATTCTACCGGCCCACTTATGTCGGATAAGCAAGACTCTACTGTATTTTAAATACTTTGAGGTACGAAACAAAGTTTGTGTCTATTAACCACCAGAAAACAAAGGTGTAGTTATCTCTGCCACCCAGATGGAGTCTGAGTCGCCTTAGGGCTGATATGGGCGGGATAGAAATAGCGTAAATAAATAAAATAAACTTAGTTTCACATCCAGGGTGTCACTTATTTTCTGTGCGGGTCTTGTCCTCTTTTAAGGTGGGTACGTCCGTCAGTCATTCCTTTGGCAGTCCTCTCTGACACTCTTCCTTTCCCTCTTTAAGGGTTTGTCAAAATTGTCAACCTGCACGGGAAACTGAAGTCGAGCAAGAAGCTGGCCTCGGAGCTGAGTTTCGATTTCTGCATTGAATCTGTAGGTAAGCAGCCAGCCTGGTTGTGATAGTGGAGATAACTATTTTTGCCTTAATTGGTTAAAAACTGGTGAGTTGGGCAAACTTGGGCCCTCCGGGTGTTTTGGACTGCAACTCCCACAATTCCTAACAGCCTATGGCTGTTAGGAATTGTGGGAGTTGCAGTCCAAAACACCCGGAGGGCCCAAGTTTGCCCTTTCGAGTCTATGTTTGCTCTGTTTGCATCTTTCCTCCTTGTGCCTCTCCTTGCAGTGTGCCTTCAAGACAGCGTCTTAGCCTTCTGGAAACACGGGATGCAGGGCAAGAGCTTCAAGTCCAACGAAGTAAGTACCCTTGTTCTCTCAACACCCAGAGAGGATTTCAAGGCTGACCCCAATAGTACGCCAGTCCTTGAGGCAGCTTTTCTGCCCAATGCTTTCCATTATCCAAAACCAACTTCTGCAAGATTCCCTTTGCAGTTTGATTTGGGGCTTGTCCATCTTTTCCTCTCTACTTTGCCTCCCTACCTTCCTCACATTTCTACAATTTACACATTTTTATTTGAACATTTTCCTTTTGCGAGGTTAATAGTGTCCAAAACAAAAAAAAGCAAGGACAAAAAGATGGACCAGTAACCAATATCCTTTCTGTGTAACTGTATTTAACAGTTATGAAGACAGGCATTGTGGTGGCATAGTTGGCCAATTTATATAAAACTTGACTGTGCAAGGATGGAAACTGTCCTGAGAGAAAAATAAAATATTGTTGAAGGCTTTCATGGCTGGAATCACTGGGTTGTTGTAGGTTTTTCAGGCTATATGGCCATCTTCTAGAGGCATTCTCTCCTGATGTTTCACCTGCATCTATGGCAAAGTTCCTGAGGTTGCAAGGTCACTACCTCTGAGGATGCTTGCCATAGCTGCAGGTGAAACATCAGGAGAGAATGCCTCTAGAACATGGCCATATAGCCCGAAAAAATAAAATACTTTTCAGGAGAGGAGGAAAACTTTTCAGAGCAGGAGAAATGGGGAGTTCAATTCCTATTGAGAAGTGAGGTATAACAACAAGGTTGAGTCCATGCCAGGTACGTAAAACGTTTTGAGGGCATTGGCTATGGAGGAATCCTTATAGTAGGTGTTTCTCTTCAGAAGCCTCACTAAACTACAAACCCCAGAATTCTGCAGGAGGCATAAACCAGATTTTAAGTGGATTTTTTTTTCTCTAGTGTGATGAAGTGGTAAATGTGCCATTTAGTGAGATTTCGTCACGTTCTTGCTCCTTCTGTGAACCCACACAATCTCTTTGATCTTCTGGAGAGGCCCTTCTCTTGCTTCCACCTCCATTGCAAGCGTGACTTGTGGGGACGAGGGAGAGGGCCTTCTCTGTAGTGGCCCCTCAGCTCTGGAATGCTGACCACCTGCTGCAATCCAACCTGAGCCCTGCCACATTCACCATGGAGGACCTTCTCACGGCAACACCAGATGCACTCCAAGTGGCCAGATACTGGTCAAAGGACATTTAAGCAACTACCAAGCTTGCAAACTTTGTTTTTTAATCTGTTTGCTTGTTTTGCTAAACATGTAATACAACTGTCTGGTTGCTCCTGACACGATAAATAAGCTCTGGAATTCGCTCCCCAGGGTTATTAGTTATGCTGCAAAGATTCCCCAAGAGGCAGTGAGGGCACATACAGAACGTCACCTCCTTTGGAGAATATGTCTATGCTTATTTCATTTTCCCGAATGATTGCAAATGTTTTCTGCCTAATGGGTGAAGTTTCTTTGGAGAATTGTTTGCAAAAGAAATTGCACAGAAACTTGGAGGGTGTTTGTGGTATTGTCTAAAACCTGTCAATTTTTGCACAGAAAACGCTGCATCAAATATTGCAGAAAAGTTACAAATTACCATCAGAGATGTAGCAGTGTGTCTGCCCCTTCTAACTCGAAAACATGCACATTTGCAAGCATGCTTTGCACCCCTCTCTTACAACAGTCCAAAAGGGAAATGGGATGCATGGTCACCATGATTGTGCCCTTGTCCTCAAACTCCTTCTTCTCTGTGTCCATCGTGCCTTTTGCCTCTTCCCTCACTCACGTCTTCACACTCTCTGCCCTGTTTTGCAGGTGACCCAGGAAATTTCAGATGAAACCAGGGTTTTCCGCTTATTGGGCTCCGACAGGTAAGTCGGGAAGAGCCACACTGGCCTTTGGTCCTTCAAAAGGAGGCTGAGCTCTTAGGGGAACGAATCCTAAATCCTTCAAGGAGGTTCTTGTGCCACTGAATTGTGTCTGCATGTGCCTTAAAGTTGTCAGTCAAATTATGACAATCCTATTCATGGATGGATGGTATCCTTGAAGTGACTGGACTGACCATGAAGGAGCTGGGGGTGGTGATGGCCAACAGGGAGCTCTGGCGTGGGCTGGTCCATGAGGTCACAAAGTCAGAAACGACTGAACAAATGAACAACAATTCATTTCAGTGTTTTCTTAGGCTCAGAGGTGGTTTTTATCTATTTATTTATTTATTATTTGAACTTCTATGCCGCCACACCCCGGGGCTCGGAGCGGCTTACAAGAATGACTAAAATCTAACACAATTTAAAACAATTTAAAAACAGCAATATCAACAATCAAAGGCCTGTCGAAACAGGTATGTCTTACATGCCCTGCGGAAAGCTGATAAGTCCCGCAAGGCACGGATTTCAGGTGGCAGAGTATTCCAGAGTGATGGTGCCACTGCTGTGAAGGCTCTGCGTCTGGTTGCTGTTAGACGCAAGGTCTTGACACTGGGAATTTCTAATAGATCTTGGTCCTCAGAACGGAGGGATCTCTGGGATTGGGAGGGGGTGAGGCGGTCCCTCAGGTACATCGGCCCCAGACCATGCAAGGCCTTCAAGGTGACTACCATCACTTTGAAAGTGATCCGGTGCTCAATTGGTAACCAATATAGCTGCAATCAGATTGGTGTGATATGGCATCTCATCGGAATTCCCGCAAGAAGCCGAGCAGCTGCATTTTGTACCAACTTGAGCTTCCGGATCACCGACAGAGGAAGGCCAATGTAGAGGGCGTTACAGAAGTCCAGTCTTGAGATGACCGTGGCCTGGATCACCATAGCGAGGTCGTCCCTGGACAGGGAGGGGGGCAGCCGTCTAGCCTGCCGCAGGTGAAAGAAGGCGGTTCTGCTCATGGCGGAAAGAGACCTGGGCCTCCATCGTCATCAGAGGGTCCAAAAGGACTCCCAGACTCTTGACCAAGTATGACGGGCGTAGTGCCTCGCCATCCAGGGTAGGTAGCTGGATATCCCCACTGCCCGGTTGACCCAGCCATAGGATCTCCGTCTTTGCTGGATTCACCCTCAACCTGCTGGCACGCAGATATCCAGTAACGGCCTCGAGGCACTGATGGAAACAATCGGGGACAGAGTCCGGTCGGCCTTCCATCTTCAGCACAACCTGAGTGTCATCAGCGTACTGATAACACTCAAGCCCAAAACCTCGAACAGGTAGTCTCTTTCTCCAAAATAGAGCCAACTATGGTTGAGGTTCATTGCCTGTCTGCTATTAAAGGGGCCCTGCTTAGCTTCCAAGATCAGGTGGAATCTGATGCCTTCAGGGCATTTAGGCCTTCGCCCAGTACTTGAGCATGGGTGCATGCCCACATACCTTTGGATCAGCCGACCAGGACCAGCCGTTTCTTCATGGCTTACATAAGCACTTGGACAGAAGTAGTTGGACAAATGCAGAAGTCTGTATTCAGCTGAAGTTTGCAGAGACAGAGTTGCACCTGCCAGAAGCCGACCATAGAATTGCACCTGTGACTATTGCAGGCCTGCACAACTTGCAAGGTTCTAGCTTTGCCAGTGTAACTATGGTGAACTTCTAGAGGAGGACCTAGATATTCCTGGAGAGAACATATTAATCAAAATGGTGCATAATTATCAGATCTTGGAGGGCCTTCTGCATTATTGTTCAACACCACCAGTTATTTATTTAACGAGTGCCAGCCCTGTACCAGAACAAGCGCATGCTTTATGCATAAAAGCAACAAGCCTGCTGCCTGCCCCTGAGAGGAGGCTTCGGATCTAATTAAGACATGGCACACAAGGCAAAAGGCGAGGCCGTGTGGGAGGGGATGGCAAAGTTGATGACAGCACAACAAAGCAATGGTTATTTTTGCAATTGTGTTCTGTTGACACACCTTGTGCTCCCTTGACTTCTCCTCTTAACTCCAAATCATTCACAGACTCCTGGAGTTGCAAGATGTGATTTGCAATGGTTTTTTTGGCTGCCACATGTTGGGGCTCAGCAGCAGGATACTGGGGGCTCCTCAAAGGATGAGAGGGATGGTGGTTTTTCACTGAGTCTGTGTGTGATCAGGCTGAAACACAGGCTGAATTGCAGGCCTAAACTCTGAGAGAACTGCCAGCAGTTACAGATTCCTTTTTTCATGGGAATTTGCCTTCAACAGATGAGCAGTTTACCCTTGATATCAGATTAGGGCTCTGCAGGGAGGGAGTGAAGAACGGTCAGAAAGACTCTGTGAGAAGTCCTTGAACCTCCTAAGAAGGCTTTCAAACCCAGGTGTCAAAAGAGATGACCTAATGGCTTCTGAGCTTAAATTAAGTGATGTTTTCTTAGAGTCTTCAGAGCAGACAACGTTGGCGTAGAATCAAATTGGTATCCTAAGCAAGGTGACTCTATTCTGAGGCGCGACAGTATCTGGCCCCCAGGCCTTAGTTTGGGGACCCCTGCCTTAGACTCTGTCCTAAATCCGGCTTGTCTCCTCCGCTCTCTCTTGCAGGGTGGTGGTGCTGGAGAGCCGGCCGACCGACAACCCGACCGCGCACAGCAACCTCTACATTTTGGCTGGCCACGAAAATAGCTATTAGGTAGGCAACTGCTGGCCGACGTGAACTGTGAGCCCAGGAAGAGGAATCTACGTCGGCATCGCTATCCTCCTGGCACTGGAAAGCAGCAGCCTGCTAAGGAAACCCTCTCCCTGCCCGGCTCGTCCTCTCCGCACCTCTCTTTGCCTGACTGTCGGCACCGGAACGGAGCCGGGTTTTTAGGATCCAGAGCCAAAATTTGTCGTCCTATTTGTCTTGCGCGTTGTCTCGCAGCTGGGCCCAGCAGCTGCTCTGTCCCTTGCCACTATGTGGTTGGTTTAATGTCACGTTTGCTTAATAAAAGGGAACCGGAGAACGAGTCCCTTTTGTCCGTGGAGCCGGCCGGCGGGAAACCGAATCCTTTGAAGTTGGGGGACTTTGGACACCCTTTTTTTTCTCCCCCCACATTCCAGCCCGGCTTTCCCCATTTCTGCCTTCGAATGGGGGCAAACGCGGAAACGCGGGTGCGGATCTCCCCAGCAGGTTTTGCCCGAGGAGCCCGAGACGCCTCGCTCGTCCCCAAACGTTGCCGCGAGGAGATATGATTCCCAAGGAAAAATGTCATGATGATGATGATTATTATTGCTGTTACTATTTTTTAAAGCAACTGTTCTCTCCGGGGGTTTGTAAGATAGAAGACTATTTAATCCTTATTTATTAACCTGCTGCTACGGTGGTGTGATGTATCTTAACTTTCTAGCACATGAAGGTTGCAGAGCAGCTTTGTTTCGGGGTGTTTTTTTATTTTGCGGGGATCGGGGGGCGGGATTGAGTGCGACGGTGGGCCTTTGGGATTGGTTTTCTTGCCTTTTCTAGCTATTCCTCTGGTTTTGTACAAGAGTATTTTGGTGGAGAATCAGGCAACACTATAGTGCAGGTATGGGCCAACTTTGGCCCTCCCTCCAGGTGTTTTGGACTGCAACTCCCACAATTCCTAACAGCCGGTAGGCTGTTAGGAATTGTGGGAGTTGCAGTCCAAAACACCTGGAGGGAGGGCCAAAGTTGGCCCATACCTGCATGACTATAGAGTTGTGTGTGTGTGTGTGTGCCTCAAGCGGAGGGTGTTTTCCATGCGGACCATTCATCACCAACCCTTGAAAGAGAGGGAAGTTGTGTCCTGACCCATACTAGACCTCCCAGAGCCTTGTGTGTCCAATACTGCCAGGGAGGTTTGGGAAGTTATAGTTCAGAAAAGATATCTTCCTGAAGCGGTGGTCCATCAGTCATCAGCCCCTCGAGATTTATAATGGAGAAAGAGAGAAATGACCAGATTAATAATAAATATAATACATAATTCACTCCCGTTGGTGCTGCAGATTAAACCACTGAGCTGCTGAACTTGCTGAACGAAAGGTCAGCAATTCGAATCCAGGGAGTGGGGTGAGCTCCCGCTGTTAGCCCCAGCTTCTGCCAACCTAGCAGTTCGAAAACATGCAAATGTGAGTAGATCAATAGGTACCAATTTGGCAGGAAGCTAGAATCATAGAATCAAAGAGTTGGAAGAGACCTCCTGGGCCATCCAGTCCAACCCCATTCTGCCAAGAAGCAGGAATATTGCATTCCAATCACCCCTGACAGATGGCCATCCAGCCTCTGTTTAAAACTGGTTCTCAACCTGGAGTCCCCAGATGTTTTTGGCCTACAACTCCCAGAAATCCCAGCCAGTTTACCAGTTGTTAGGATTTCTGGGAGTTGAAGGCCAGAAACATCTGGGGACCCCAGGTTGAGAACCACTGGTTTAAAAGCTTCCAAAAAAGGAGCCTCCACCACACTCTGGGGCAAAGAGTTCCACTGCTGAACGGCTCTCACAGTCAGGAATTTCTTCCTCATGTTCAGATGGAATCTCCTTTCTTGTAGTTTGAAGCCATTGTTTCGTGTCCTAGTCTCCAGGGAAGCAGAAAACAAGGTAACGGCGCTCCATGCAGTCATGCTGGCCACATGAACTTGGAGGTGTCTGTGGACATCGCCGGCTCATAGGCTTAGGAATGGAGACGAGCACCAACCCCCAGAGATGGATACAACTAGACTTAATGTCAAGGGGATACCTTTACCTTTCATAATACACTTTGTTTATATTCCGTCCTTCTCCCCTAAGGGACTCAGAGCTGATTACACAGAAAAACATTCAGTCAAATACAAAGAGACATACAAGCAAGGGCAAAGGCTTCTCCTTTCATTTCCTGCTTCTGGAGGTGATGCTCATCTCTGGCTCTGGGGAGGTGTTTTTTTCTCCATTTTCAAGCCAAGGAGCCTGTGTGTACGTGGCTGGGGACTCAGATTACAGCATTTACACAGGCAATACAAGGAAACTAAAAACAAAGGCAAAGGCTTCTCCTTTCATTTCCGGCTTCTGAAGGCAGAAAGGGTGCTTTTTTCTCCATTTTGAAGCCAAGGAGCTTGCGTTGTCACCTCGTTGTGTGGCCAGCATGACTGCTTGGATTGTATTTTTGCCTTTTCCCACAGTACCTTTTTATCTACTCTCATTTGCATGTTTTCGAACTGCTAGGTTGGCAGGAGCTAGGGCTTGACAGACAGGAGCTCACCCCGTCCCGTGGATTCGAACTGCCGACCTTCAGGTCAGCAGTTCAGCAGTACAAGGGTTTAACCCATTGTATTGTCGAAGGCTTTCATGGCTGGAATCACTGGGTAGGTTTTTTCGGGTTATATGGCCATGTTCTAGAGGCATTTTCTCCTGACGTTTCACCTGCATCTATGGCAAGCATCCTCAGAGGTACCTCAGATGCAGGTGAAACGTCAGGAGAAAATGCCTCTAGAACAGTGGTTCTCAACCTGTGGGTCCCCAGGTTGCCAACCTTCAGGTCAGCAGTTCAGCAGTACAAGGGTTTAAGCCATTGTATTGTCGAAGGCTTTCATGGCCGGAATCACTGGGTAGGTTTTTTGGCCATGTTCTAGAGGCATTTTCTCCTGATGTTTCGCCTGTATCTATGGCAAGCATCCTCAGAGGTACCTCAGACGCAGGCGAAACATCAGGAGAAAATGCCTCTAGAACAGTGGTTCTCAACCTGTGTGTCCCCAGGTGTTTCAGCCTACAACTCCCAGAAATCCTAACAGCTAGTAAACTGGCTGGGATTTCTGGGAGTTGTAGGCCAAAACATCTGGGGACCCCAGGTTGAGAACCACTGCTCTAGAACATGGCCATATAGCCCGAAAAAAACCTGCAACAACCCAGTTTAACCCACTATGGACTCTCCATATTGAGTCAGGACATTTGTGCCTCCGGACTCAATGTGGCCCAAACTATACTTCCCAGAGTCCCTTAGCCAAAGCTGGTTGAGGGATTTGGAGAGTTGTAGTTCCAGTTCTATATATTTAGAGGCCTCCTCCGATGCTGGCCATGGCCAATTAATTTCAAGGGCAGTGCCGCCCAATGGTCATCATCCCCTCGAGATTATAATGGACGAAAGAGAGGAGAGATGTGTGCCTCCTGACTCATTGTATCCCAAACTAGACCTCCCAAAGCTCTTTGGGGAGTTGTAGTTCGAAAGGTAAGTTTCCCAAGCCATGGTCCAGACATTTAGAAGCCTATTATGGGATGGGTCCGACCTGAATGCTGCTCTGCCAAATGAGAAACGTAGGCAGCCGTGGTCCAGGCCTAAAACGAGGGAGGGTTGTCTCATTTTATTATTAATTCTTCGATTTTTATCTGTTCAGGACACGTATTTTTTATTTATTTATACTGTGCCAGAAAGGAGATTGGAGAGAGGAACATGCAGTGCCTGGAAATGGAAAAAAAAATAATGTATATTATGGGGGTGTTTTTCTTTCTCCCCGCCTAGACAGGTAGGAACGAATGGTAGGTTTATTTCCTGGCGGTATAGTATAAATCTATATAAATATAAATATATATATATAAGAAGCAGTATTGCCTAATAATCCTTGGGGAAAAGTCTCCTTTATTCCACGATCCCTCTTTCAAGGCTCTCGTCCATGTTTCTCTCTTTCTCTTTTCTCTCCGTTTCGTCCATTAAAGGATCCCTTTGTTCCTTGATTCTCGTTTGCTTGTGTTCATTAAGCCAGAGTTTCCCAATCTTCCTAATGCCGCGACCACTTAATGCAGTTCCTCATGTTGTGGTGGCCCCCAACCATAACATTATATTCGTTGTTACTTCATAACTGTATTATTATTATTATTATTATTATTATTATTATTATTATTACTAGCCGTCCCCTGCCATGTGTTGCTGTGGCCCTCATGAGGGTTTCTGTGTGGGAAGTTTGGCCCAATTCTATCATTGGTCGGGTTCAGAATGCTCTGTGATTGTAGGTGAACTATAAATCCCAGCAACTACAACTCCCAAATGTCAAGTCTATTTTCCCCAAACTCCACCAGTGTTCACATTTGGGCATATTGAGTATTCGTGCCAAGTTTGGTCCAGATCCATCATTGTTTGAGTCCACAGTGCTCTCTGGATGTAGGTGAACTACAACTCCAAAACCAAAGGACACTGCCCACCAAACCCTTCCAGTATTTTCTGTTGGCCATGGGAGAACTGTGTGCCAAGTTTGGTTCAATTCCATCATTGGTGGTTCAGAATGCTCTTTGATTGTAGGTGAACTATAAATCCCAGCAACTACAACTCCCAAATGTCAAGTTCTATTTTCCCCAAACTCCACCAGTGTTCACATTTGGGCATATTGAGTATTCGTGTAGAGTTTGGTCCAGTTCCATCATTGTTTGAGTCCACAGTGATCTCTGGATGTAGGTGAACTACAACTCCAAAACCAAAGGACACTGCCCACCAAACCCTTCCAGTATTTTCTGTTGGTCATGGGAGAACTGTGTGCCAAGTTTGGTTCAATTCCTCATTGGTGGGGTTCAGAATGCTCTTTGATTGTAGGTGAACTATAAATCCCAGCAACTACAACTCCCAAATGTCAAGGTTCTATTTTCCCCAAACTCCACCAGTGTTCACATTTGGGCATATTGAGTATTCGTGTAGAGTTTGGTCCAGATCCATCATTGTTTTGAGTCCACAGTGATCTCTGGATGTAGGTGAACTACAACTCCAAAACCAAAGGACACTGCCCACCAAACCCTTCCAGTATTTTCTGTTGGTCATGGGAGAACTGTGTGCCAAGTTTGGTTCAATTCCATCGTTGGTGGGGTTCTGAATGCTCTTTGATTATAGGTTATAAATCCCAGCAACTACAACTCCCAAATGACAAAGTCAACTTTTTTGAGTGAAGGACATACACTGGGTTGTTAGGTGTATCGTGTCCAAATTTGGTGTCAATTCGTCCAGTGGTTTTTGAGTTCTGTTAATCCCACAATCGAACATTACATTTTTATTTATATAG